TATACACGTTCGCAGTCATTGGTCTCAATAGATATTGGCTACTATGGGATATCCACAGGACTTTAAAGGGATGTCCATATAATTTTGAATGAGTCCCAGTACTGCTGGGGGAAGTCAATAGGTATCCCATCAGACCTGGATCGAGTCCGACAACAAGCATATTCCTTTCAACAGATCCGGTAGTTTTGCTGATGCATCTCTGTCATAATCTTTCTGTTGAACTAGCTCGTATCAAGGGACCCCAGAACGATGGGTGGTCTACCGATTGGATTTGAGGCTTTATTAAAAACTGGCCTAAGGATGTGGAATTGAATTCTCGCCCGTTCAAATTCTGAGTTACTAAAGTATCGGGAATAATTTGACAGAGAGCAGGTGGCAATTTCATCCTTCATCGATCGGGTTATGCCTTCGTTTCTGTACATCTGCAAGGAATCAGCAGCAGGGACATCGAGCCGGAATCTGGTGGACGGGTTGAACACCGTACACGTTTGATGGCTTCTACTTCCTCTTCCACCTCCCGATCCGCAAACGCACTTCTGAGAATGAAGGGAAGCTGAATGCTGGCCTTGGTCTATCTGATAAATTGAGAATGTAAACACAATAAAAAAAAGTCGTAACTCTCGGGGTTGCCAAACTCATGGAATATTGATTCATTGATAGGCACACTTTGATTGAAACCACGTTTGGCATAGCGTGGCACAGCTTTCGGTACTGCTCAATCACTCGGCACGGATTAAGGTGTGCAGAGTTGAATACCTCTTGCAGATTGTATTGTTTTTGTTTGCTATCCCCATCCGTAGTTCCACTGACACTGAAAGCTTGGATTGTGTTATCAATATTTTTCCGAGTAATTTTGCTGCTGTTTTAATCACTGCTCATTCTTTCAAATATCCAAAACATGTATCGATTTTAATGATTCTACGTGTAACGGTGTTAAGTGTGCCAAGTGTTTTTTTTTCCACTGGCCAAGTGAGCTTTGCAACAAAATGTACCACCATTCGACCATTTGTCCCCCTTCTCATCATTAGAATTTTTGTTCCCCTTTCATCATTTGACGTTTCGTTCCTCTTTTGTTCATTTTCCTTTATCAAGTGAACTAGCCTCTCTTCACGCTTGAGTTTTATGTCATCCTAGTTACAACTAAATTTTAAATTTTGAGGCAAAAAATTGCAGAAAGATTAAAAAATTGGCTGCTTCTGTTGGTTTTTTTTTTTGGTAAGATCAGATTCATATAGAATCTGTAGAAGGTATAGGATCATACTCAACATTCTAAAAAACAGTAATGGGGATATTATTAAAAAAAAACCCGAATTTATCCACCTATGGTGTGATCAGACCCTTCTTACTTATTCAAGTTTATTTATTTTATTGTCATTATCAGTGACCAAGCCCCCCACCCCCGTGTCATCCAGTGACGCTACGACACTGCCTGGGGGTACCCGGAATATATCCGGGTGTAGTCTATTTGGTGTGGCTACCAATGACCTTATCATCGTATTTTAATGTGATTTAATGGGTTTTAATTCAATTTATATTCAAGCAACTTCCCCGGGGTACCCGGAACATGTCCAAGTGTGTCCAATGTGGTCTGGAACACTTAACACGACTTGCATTGATCTTATTTTTGAATTCTGTAGTAATTTGATGTGTCGCATGATGGTTTTGATACGTTTTCCGTTAAATCCAGCGTGAAGGCCCATATTCACCGGATCTTATTCCGGTCATATCTCCGGAACCGGTTCACCGATTCCAAAACCGTTCAATAGCGTTCAATGGGACCCCAAGACCTACCATTTGGCGCCGAGTTTGTCCAAATCGGTTGAGCGGTTGCTGAGAAACGTGAGCGCATTCATTTCGTTACATACACACACACATACGCACATACACACGTACACACACACACACACACACATACATGTTCCGATCTCGTCGAGCTGAGTCGAATGGTATATGACACTCGGCCCTCCGGGCCTCGGATCGATAGTCGGTTTTTCAAGTGATATCTATACCCTTCTTTGTAAGAAGGGTAAAAACAAAAATATATCTGGTTATTAAGGTAGAATCCACAAACGGCCGTTGTCATGGCTGATTTGCATTGTAAAATCAGAAAGATAGCGGCCATTGGGGGCTTCCCTTAGCTCATTCGGTAAAGGCGCAGCTACAAAGCATGCTGGAGTTGGCTGGGCTCGATTCCCGGTTCGGTATAGGATGTTTTTTTCGGGTTGGAAAATTTCTCGACTTTCCTGGGCATAGAGTATGATTGTTATACTAATGCAAAAATGGTACAAGCATCGAAAGCTCTAACGCGTAAACGACACACGGAAGTTCTACGAGAAGCTAAATAGTTCGCGCAAAGGCTACGTGCCGCAAGCCGATATGTGCAAGGACTTGGACGGTAACCTTCTCACGAACGAGTGTGAGGTGATTGAGAGGTGGAAGCAGTACTATGACGAGCACCTCAACGGTGAAGCAGCAGAAAACGAAGGTGGCACGGCAACAGACCTTGGAGCACGCGCAGAAGACGACAGGCTACCGGCCCCTGATCTTCAAGAAGTTGAGGAGGAGATCGGTCGGCTGAAGAACAACAAAGCAACTGGTGTAGATCAACTACCAAGTGAGCTATTGAAATACGGTGGTGAAGCACTGGCTAGAGCGCTGCACTGGGTAATTGCCAAGATTTGGGAGGAGGAGATATTACCGGAGGAGTGGATGGAAGGTGTCGTATGCCCAATCTACAAAAAGGGCGACAAGTTGGATTGCTGCAACTACCGCGCGATCACACTGCTGAGCGCCGCCTACAAGGTACTCTCCCAAATTCTATGCCGCCGTCTGTCACCATATGCAAGAGAGTTCGTGGGGCAATACCAGGCGGGATTCATGGGTGCCCGCGCTACCACGGACCAAATTTTCGCGATTCGGCAGGTTCTGCAGAAATGCCGCGAATACAACGTGCCCACACATCATTTGTTCATCGATTTCAAATCCGCATACGACACAATCGATCGAGATCAGCTATGGCAGATTATGCACGAGTACGGATTTCCGGATAAACTGACGCGATTGGTCAAGGCGACGATGGATCGAGTGACGTGCGTTGTTCGAGTATCGGGGACACTCTCGAGTCCCTTTGAATCTCGAAGGGGGTTACGGCAGGGTGATGGACTTTCGTGTCTGCTGTTCAACATCGCGTTAGAAGGTGTGATCAGAAGAGCTGGGATAGACACGAGTGGCACGATATTCAGGAAGTCCATCCAGCTCCTTGGTTTCGCCGATGACATTGACATTATGGCACGGAACTTTGAGATGATGGCGGAAACGTACATCAGACTGAAGGCTGAAGCTAGACGGATTGGACTTGCCATCAACGCATCAAAGACAAAATATATGAAAGCAAGAGGTTCTAGGGAAGACAATGTTAGCCTCCCACCCCGAGTTCAGATTGACGGTGACGAAATCGAGGTGGTCGATGAGTTCGTGTATTTGGGCTCACTGGTGACCGCCGAAAATGATACCAGCCTACTTTGGACTCCGGAGGACGCTCCGGTCGAATAAAATTCGCCGCCGCACGAAGTTGACTGTCTACAAGACGCTGATTAGACCGGTGGTCCTTTACGGCCACGAGACCTGGACTATGCTCGTGGAGGACCAACGCGCCCTTGGTGTTTTCGAACGGAAGGTGTTGCGTACCATCTACGGTGGAGTGCAGATGGATGACGGAACGTGGAGGAGGCGAATGAACCACGAATTGCACCAGCTGCTGGGAGAACCATCCATCGTCCACATTGCAAAAATTGGGCGACTACGGTGGGCTGGGCACGTCGTAAGAATGCCGCACGACGACCCAGTGAAAATGGTTCTAGAAAGCGACCCAACAGGAACAAGAAGAAGAGGCGCGCAGCGGGCAAGGTGGATCGACCAAGTAGAAGGTGACCTGCGGACCCTTCGCAGACTACGAGGCTGGCGAACTGTGGCCATGGATCGAGTAGAGGGGAGACGACTTCTTCGGACAGCAGAGGACAACAAGGCCTTAGCCTGATTGGTAAGGTAAGTATCGAAAGCTCTCAAATAATAACTGTGGAAGTGCATCTAGAACACTAAGTTGAGAGCACGCAATAAGCTAATATGCGTTAATCAATAAGCTTGAAATGCGAAGAAGAAGAAGAAGACGAAGACGAAGAAGAAGAAGAAGAAGCGACTTTTTGTCGATTCAATCAATCTTGTCCTCATGCAGACTTGGAAATGTTTTCTGAATTGAAGGGGTTAGAAGGAAAGGGGTATAAGCAACAATTAATACGAAAGTAACGATTTTAAATTGGCTCACTGCTTGACTAGCCTATTGGTCCCAAGCAAATCGATTAACGTACCCTATTCTAGTTGAAATTCCGGTACTACACTATGTTTGTTTTGATTCGCTATGGAAGTTTGACAGATAAAATGAGATGTTCGTTTCGAAGGGTGCATCGATTAGCTTGGGACCGAAGATAGTACCAGAGCTGAGCCAAAAAGTTGAGCTCGTTTCTTCGGGACCTTCTGGTCTTAGAATTACCTCTATGGTATAAGTGTCTTTGATCGATTCTCTTCATCGACTTTCTCGTTCGTTAATAATTCAGCTGCAAACACGTTCCTTGACTCGTGTGCCATTCTGGATGCTAGATGAGAACCTCCTTTATCAAACTATGTGGCAGAAATAGCACAACAAGCTGTGACTGTCAAAAGAGAAAGTCGATGAAGATCGATCATTCTAACCTCCTCAATTGATGAGAGTGATATATGCTTGCATTAAATCTATAATTTGTGATCATTGATCGGCATTATAAAAGAACATATTTGAAAAAAGAAGGTTTAATTCGGATGAAGTATGTCTAAATATTTAACTCTATGTATGTTTCTTTGATTCAACATGTTCTTCTGGTTCAAATAAAACTAGTACCGACATACCTGTGAAATGTATTTATTCGTAGAATCAGAATGAAAAGTCCATTTTTGTGTTGTCACAGAATCATAAAAAGGAATCACGAAGAAAATGGAACACGATATAGTTAGGTATCAACAATGCAATAAACGACTCTTAAACTTCATTTCAATATCTAACAGTCCATATAGTAGTCCATAAGTCTTTGGCGGTGAAAACAGAACCTAACCCAACGTTCACGATTTCCGTGTCCACACCCGTATGGCTTTGCTTTCGATGAGGTTGGAGTCCCGCGCCGGTAGCACCCCAATCGTCACCGGAACCCGAACCGTCTGGTTGGCATTGAAGAAGCAGGTATCGAACTGAAATTCCACCGCCACTTCGTATCCTATTTGGACCACATGTGAATAGCTGCTCGACGGTAACACCCAAGGCACCTGCAGATTCTCCGCAGCAAGAACTCCACCCTCTGGCAGTCTAATTCCGGGCGTTACATTTTTACAAACAACCGTGCGCTCCACCGTCTGATACACGGCCGGTCGCCTTGCTCTGTAAACTACCTTCTGCACCAGCATGGTCACTATCCTTGTCATTTTGTTGTTCCCCTTGTTATTGACTTGAATCACCGCCGGAATGAACTGCCCGGGTACGAAGCCTGATGTGGAGAGTTCTACGGACGCGTACAGCACTCCACTTGGGACGCATGGCCAGTAGCCAAGCGATTTGGTGATTTCGGATCGCACGGGTAGAAGGACTTCATCGTTCAGATCCAGCTGCCGAACGATCTGGAAGTGGAACGTATAGCTCTTTGACTGTCTCCAGGGTCGCTCCAAGGTTGCTTTCAACCAATAGCGTATGTGGCCATATTTGCCTTCGAAAGAAGCCGGAAGAGCCTCCGGCAGCTTGCATGCGAAACCGTGGCTGTAAGTTCCAGCGGGGACTTCAGTTAATTTGTCTAAAATGTAGAGTTTTGGTTAGTAGTTTTGTTCATTAGGCACAATTGTTCAACCGTGTACCGTGCGGCTGATAAAGAACCAATTCAGAGTTCAAATATCGCTCTTTGCCACGAAAGTTTCCCTTCTTTGGTCTGTTCAGATCAGAGAATTTAGATTTCCCGACTCCACAAATGGTGAGAAGCAATTCTAAAAAAAACAATCAAAATGTTCCTTTGACCCTACTGATTGGTAATCAATAAATCCTCACTCACTAGACACGGTGCAACTTTTTGCCATTGTCACGATTACGTCGCCAATAACTTCCTGTCCGGGATAGTAAATCCCATCGGCACTGTTGATGAGCAGAATTTCAAGCTTGGTTGGCATCCTGCTTCCGTGATGCGGTGCGGATTCAATGGAACGGAAGAAAAGTATCGGCCAAAATCGAGAGCATTCAAAAGGAGCAATCGGAAAGCGATAGCATCATCATCGTTGCTCGCAGCATGCGGCGCCAGTCTGTCGCGGGGTTGCTTAGATATATCACCACTGGAGCTTCTGCTGTTCAACGCCCATCTCATCTACATGCACTTTCACACGTTTGCGTCATTAAATGTTGTTCACTTGTTTAACGATTATAATTAGAAAAATCTTTTATCACAAGCTAAATAGATCATAATTCCGGCGAATAAACGCATACAGAAAACGATGTGCAATGTTCACCGCACTGGAGGCACACTGGAGAAGAAAGTTTCTATGGGTATGTTCATCGTTCGGAACGCAAGTGACACACATAGGGTTTGTATCTAATTTCCGTCATACTGAGCGTAATACGCACTTTGCCTTTCTTGTTTGAACGGGTTTTAACAAAAGATGACTTCTAAATTTATTTACTTTTCCATACGTGCAGTTGAGATTGTTGAGATATTGTTAAAAATCTAACACTGCTTCTTGATTCCAAATTCGGACGAACACATTGAAATGCGCTAGATGCGCTTCTTTTGTTTTTGAGAATAATGGTTGTGAATATTCATATTATGCGTTTTATAGATTTGGCCTTGTAGCTTTTGAGCTAAACTATCGAACCAAACGTAGGATTGATTTGTTCACGTTGAAATCATTGATATATTTGATATTGATGCGTTATATCGGAAATCCGCACTTATGCCGAAGTGGTTCTCTACCCTAGACACACAACAAAAAATCGTTAAACTTGAAAGGGGAGGGGGGGGGGGGGTCGTTTGATAACAATGTTACATATGACTGAGACGTACAAAGGCAATCCTTGTATAATATTTAAATCGACTTTTACAGGGTGGCAACTCAAAAGTTCAAACAAAATTCCTCGAGTTTTCCAGGTTTTTTTTCAGGTGCCACCATTAAATTGCCAGTTTGCCAGGTTTTATGCTCGCTGTCAATAAAAAATCATATCGAAAGCCAGTTTCATCTACTGTGACGAATTAATCGCTAATTAATGAATATTTGAAATGAAGTGAAAATCACTGCATTCACTTCTCATTCACTGGCTATTCTCATCAAGATAACGAAGGCAAACGGTGCGAGTCGCCTCTCCGTGAGTAACAGAATGTGTTTGTTTGGTCTGACTAAGCTCCCTCATTCACCGTGTTGTGCAAGATATGTCGATAGAGAAACGAATTGTATGGTGCGGCGCTATCGGAATCAGCCTGAACTGTCAAGAATTTTACGTTCTGATTATAGCTTGTATATGAAATGTTTGGTCGATTCCAATACCAAACCTAGACATTATTACTATTACTATTCAATTAACTATTAAAAATTAAAACTCTCTATGGAGAGGCCCGGGAAACAGTTACAGTATTTCTCTTATGTAATGACGATTTGTCAAAATTCTAAATTAACCTAATTTTTGACTAACTTTTATTAGTATAATGCGTTTATCAAATTTGATCACACTGAGAATTGTTAACACATAATGCCCTATTATGAACATTTTTAAGCATTTTTATGAATAAAACTAGATTTGTTAGGATCTCATAAAATTCCAAACAAATAGTTTCAAACAAGGTTTTAACATATTTTTTTTCCATTTGCACATTTATAGAACCTTTTATTTTCCCAATCTTTCAAATGCCTAAGGATACTGGAGTTTAAATTTAGATAGTCAACGCATTACTGGTAGTGAAAATGGATCATAAATTGATTGATTCATCCGAGACCAAATTGAAGAAACAAACTTGCTGAGAATATGTTTCATAATACTGGGACTCAAATTTTGAGCACCGACAAACCGACAAATTACAAAGAAATTTCTGATCAAAGCACAAAACTGACATCTACCGCCGTGTTCGCGGAAAATATTTATCCTAGTCACAAACACGCGTACAAAATGTACGAGTTGGTTCGCGTCTAATCTATTTCAGACAAATTATTTTTATCTAGATAAAATATTTCTATGGTTTTGACAGATGGGATCGCTGCACATTTGAATCGGCCGTTATGGATTCTCGATCAAGAGTTAAGTTTCAGTTTCATGTCGGTTTGTCGGTGCTTTGAGATCCCGGATTTTTTTTTAATTTTAGGACTTTTTGAACAATTTTATTTAAAGGAAAAATGGATTCAACAACTCAATACCCAACAAACATTACATGCATAATAAGAGCTTATTAAGGTAAAAATGAGCTTCTTCAGGTAATAAATGGCTTATTCAGCTTTTAATCAGCTCAAATTGTTTGTTGGGTAGAACTAAAATTTTGCGAATTCCCTGATTGATGACCAACTTCCCTATTTCCAGGTTTTTCCAGGAATTTTTAAATTTCCTGATAATTCCAGTTAAAATTAGCGGTAGGACTACCGAGAACAATTATTAACTTTCCAAGACTAAGGTTATCAACACCTCCCTTAAAGTTCTAGATAATGTTTTCGAAGATGAATAGGAAGGCTGTTTTATTGCTAAGTAATCAAAAAAAAAATCAATGTAAAATCAGAATTATCCATTACACTCATTCTGTTTTAAAGGGTGTCCCACATCAAATTGGACCACGGAAAAAAACGCTGTAGAAAATTACCTAGATGACCGATCCTTTTCAAACTTTCACGACAATAAAATATAACCCATAAGTATCTGGCTGCAGCTTCTTCTGTACGGAAACCCACTTTTTCTTCAAGTCTTCCTCAGATTTGACCTCCTTGGGATGCTTCCGTAGCGCCTGCTTCATAATAGCACAGTATTTTTTGATGAGCCTTAGTTCCAGTATGTTGGGGGGGTTCATGTCCTTGGGTATGAAAGTGACCCCATTGGCTTCGTACCACTCCAGGACAACATTTGATTAGTGGCACGAAGCTAGATCCAGCCAGAAGATCGTAGGGCCCTCGTGTTGCTTCAACAGAGAGAGCAGACGCTTCTGTAGACACTCCTTGAGGTAGATCTTCCCGTTTACAGTGCCGGTAGTCACGAACGGCGCACTCTGTTTGTCACATGAGCAGATCGCTTGCCAAATCATGTATTTCTTGGCAAACTTTGAAAATTTCTGCTTCCTCACTTCCTCCGGAACATCAAACTTGTGCTGGGCGCTGAAGAACAGTAGCCCCGGAAGCTGCCGGAAGTCCGCCTTGACGTAAGTCTCATCATCCATGATGAGACAATGAGGCTTCGTCAGCATCCCGGTCCTTGGCTCTCTGAACGAACAGAACGACAAATTCAACTTTTTGGCCACATCCCTGACTGATGGCATTGGGATTCCTCTTAAACGCTTTCACGACACTCTTGTGATCCTAATCACTAATAGGGTTGAGTAAAATGGGTGCGATGGATGTCAATGTCGAGATGATTTCCACTGCCGCATCACAACTCAAGTCGTCCTTCAATCCAGGACCCGATGGCGTTCCATCCGTATTCCTGAAAAAGCATTTCGATTGTCCATCTCGAGTGGTACATTTCCATCTTGTTGGAAATTCGCACATATGTTTCCTATCCACAAAAAGGGCAGCAAACGGGATGTGGACAATTATCGTGGAATTACGTCGTTGAGTGCAGTTTCGAAGCTATTCGATTTAGTCATCATGGAGCCTCTACTCTCTCATTGTAAGCAGTATATAAGTGGTGATCAACACGGCTTCACTTCCGGTCGTTCTACTTCCACAAAGCTGCTGTGTTTGACATCGTATCTTACGGAAAGCATGGCAGAGAGGACTCAAACAGACGTCATATACACCGACTTGTCAGCTGCCTTCGATAAGCTAAACCATGCCATTGCGATTGCCAAGTTGCATAGACTTGGGGTCAGCGGCAACCTCTTGCGATGGTTTCGTTCATATCTCACTAATCGGCAACTGATGGTTGCCATTGGTGACAACCGGTCCAATATCTATCTAGCTACGTCAGGAATACCTCAAGGAAGTCACCTGGGACCTCTGATTTTCTTACTCTACTTCAATTACGTGAACTTGGTCATCGAAGGCCCACGACTATCGTATGCAGACGATCTTAAAATCTACCTACGAATCCGCTCGATTGATGACTGTCACTTCCTTCAACGTCAGTTCGAAGCCTTTGCCAGCTGGTGAAATTTGAACCGAATGGTGGTTAACCCCACTAAGTGTTCAGTGATCACTTTTACTCGGAAGAATGAACCAATCACATTTGAATACAAACTTATCGGCACTGTAATCGACCGTGTGAACCATGTGAAATATCTGGGTGTTATTCTGGATTCTCAACTTACGTACAAGCAGCACATCTCGTACGTTGTCGACAAGGCGTCTAGGACATTGGGATTTATCTTCAGGATAGCAAAGAATTTCTCCGATATCTACTGTTTGAAGTCACTGTACTGTTCCTTGGTGCGATCCATTCTGGAATATTGTTCTGTGGTCTGGAGTCCAAACTACAACAATGGTGCTGAGAGAGTTGAGTCCGTTCAACGCCGTTTTCTTCGATTCGCTCTGCGGAAGCTGCCTTGGAGAGACCCATTTCATCTGCCCAGCTATGAAAGTCGTTGCCAGCTGATTGATCTGGAGCCTCTCCGAACTAGAAGAGACACCTCTAGGGCCCTGTTCATTGCGGACACTTTACAAGGTAGAATTGATTGCAGTGCAATCTTGGGGCAAGTCAACATTAACGTCCAACCCCGTGCGCTACGTAACAACGTTATGCTGAAATTACCACTTCAGCGCACAAACTATGGCATGAACGGTGCAATAGGAGGGCTGCAACGAGTGTTCAATCGAGTCTCGGGCATCTTCGATTTCCATATGCCTCGACAGCTGCTACGAAGATACTTCTCATCGTTCTTTTCTGGCACAGTTAACCGTGAATGATTGTATGTTTTATTTATGTATTTTATTCTTAGTTTTTATTTTTTGATTGACAGCCTGTTGTTGCAGACAAATAAATAAATAAATAAAAAAATACATTCTGACCGCATTCATCTTTCCATTCGATGCTCAGAGTTTTGTAGCAACGTTTAATCAAACGACTCACCGTTGACTGCACGATTCCGAGTTATTTTCCGATGTCCCGATTTGAGGATTTTCTAGGTGCTTGCGCAAAATCAATTCGCGACGTTGCTTTTCGGGTTACGCCATTTTTTCCAACTTTCGAAAACCTGACAGCGATAAAAACACAGTGTAGACAATACACTCTAAAATACTTCTACTCAAATTTTCTAGAGAAAATACCCAATGGGTAATTTTCTACAGCGTTTCTTTCGTGATGCAATTTGATGTGGGACACCCTTTAACATGATTTTTCCTCCCTTTATTTTCAATTGGAATTGCAACCAAATTTAATTAAACTCCTTTAAAAAAACACAAATAGTAAAAAAAATATGGTGAGGTACCAAAAATGCATGAGAGTAAAATCGAAACAAAAATTAACGTACCGAATTGAGTATATTCCAGTATTTCAATCCAGCTCTCCATTATTTTACCGAGTATTGATTCATCTTTGAAATTAGACGCTTACCATTTTTATGACACAGTTGTAGCAATCTATGATATCAAGGGAAACATGTCAGAAGGGTCTAACTCGAAACGTAAACAATGACTTGGATCGTCGGTTACTTGCGAATGACAACACACCCACTCAAGCTAACTATATCATCTGACAGAACAATGTTTGTTCTATGAGCTGGTGTAGTCAGATTCCATGAGTCTGTGGGCATTCAAGAGAAATCTGTTCAAAATCATTGTTTACGTTTCGAGTTGTACCCTTCTGACATGTTTCCCCTGATTTATTGAATTGTTTTCAAAAATGACTGACGAAAAACAAAATTCCTACCACTTCGCTACATGTCCCGGACAGTCCAAGTAGGAAGTACCACAGGATAAGGACCTGGTCAAGCTGAGCCAGGAAAATCAGGACTACTGCAAAAAGAATATTACCAAAAGGGAAATCTAGAGTTGTCGAAGGACGATTTGGAGAATTGGTTCGAAGATTACATCGCTTGGGAGTTTAGTTTGAGGACGCTCAACGCAAACCTGGAGGAAGTTCAAAATGCTCTCGGTTTAGGGTGGAGGAGGTGCGCCATCTCCATATGTTACACAACAGCATCCATCACAGATCTCTTCCGGAAGTACCTTTCAGCGTCACGGAGTTGATGCATTGCTGCGAAATCAGAACGTGCTGGTTCAAACGCTTACCGAAATCCGTTCGATTATAGACGGAGTGAATGCCCGAGTGGATTCGATTCTGAACAACCAGACCATATTACACAAATGGAAATGTCTATTCCTTTAATGCCTACGGCTTCATTCCACTGTTCTCTTCAAATACTTTACTTTAGGACTTTAGGAAAATGATGAAAGCTCGTTTTTTGTTGGCCATATTTTTCTGTATCTCAGAAATAAGTACACTTCTGAACAAGGGGCAAGACAGCTGTACTCAGAGTAAATATATTTGCTGCGAGTAAATTTGAGTTGCTCATATTTACTTGAAAATGAACAAAGTAGTCTCGTATTTTTCATCATTAGAAGTTCTACACAGCAAAAAATTAATTTTAATATCACATCAAAGTGGATGCACTTCAATCGTGACAAAAATATGGTGTAATATTACTTGCCACAAAGAAAAAAATTATCATGAATACGGTGCATAAACTGACATTACGTTGCTTTTACTGCTTTTGTTTATTTGTGTGGCCATAAAAATTACATGAGCTTTTCGACATGATTGAAGTGCATCCTCTTGGATGTAATATTCAAATTTATTTTTGCTGTGTAGATATAACCACCGTCTGACAGAATGTTTTATTTTAATATTGTCAAATAATAGAAAATTTAGCATTTGGCGTTAGATTATCAACTTTAATATAGAATGATGTCCATGAAACGGCAATATTAAGTTTTCATTATTAAAAGATCGAAGTTACATTGATTTTGTCCAACTGTCACTAGAAACTTCCGTTGTTTCCCCTGATACTCTTAGAAGAAGACAGTTGAAAATTGTGATCAGAAACGGGTTAAATTTTCATTGCCTGGTGTTGTTGTGATGATCCACATTTAGCACCAATAGAACATTGACGAATGCGGTCTTTTATGTAGCTGTTCATCCCAAGTCACAATAGATTAGTTTTGGCCAACTTCATAGTTGATTCTATTCCGACACTTACATGAGCGATCGTCGAAGGGATGCAGGAATTCCTTCATCTCTTTTTTGTCATGCTACTTAGAATTGTTCCGAATCCTCCATTTGGGATGACTGTAGTCCTCCTTGAGATTGTCTAGATCTCCCTGGAATTGTACGGAATTCTTTCTGGGATTGTTGAGGATCCCAACTCTCTGGACTGTCATGAATGCCCCTCAATTTTTACTGAAATCGTCCTTTTGACTGTCCAGAATCCCTGTTTTGTTTGCCCGAAGTCCCCTCTGATATTGTCCGGAAGCCGTACTGAGAGTGTATGAAATCTGTTCTGATCATTCAAGATAGAGCTGGAATTAGGGTGTAACAGCTTTTGTAAAAAAGGACTTCTTTCTATGATTTCTTGAAAGTCAAGGCTCGCCCACGCACATCAACATCACCATCAGGTAGGGACGGTAGGTTAAGACTTTCCCTACCCGACGATAATGTTGGTTTGCGTGGGCGTGCCTTGAATTCCTAGAAATCATCGAGAGAAGTAATTGTTTACAAAAGCTGGTACGCCCTTATTCCAGCTATGTCTAGAATTGTATTGAATCACCCCTAGGCTAGTTCAGAGTCCCTCCTTCATAAATCCCTTTTTCGATTCACTGGAGTCCTTCCAGAGATTGTCCGAAGTCTTCTAGGGATTGTTCAGAATCCCTATGGGACTGTCCTGAATCCTTTTTGTGATTGTCCATCAGAATCCGTATTATGTGGTAGCTTATGTTTCGCAGCGTGCTATACGAAAGTGCCGAAATATCTTCTCGGTTAAGCTTTAGTTTGCAATTACGCCCCTTTGAAATGTTGCCACTGAATTATCTTTGCTTGACAGCATCGGTTTCAACACAACAACCAGGTTGCTATGTGTAAATGATGTTGAGTAATGCGAGTTACTTAGAGTTACTCAAAATTAACTCCGATTATACTCATGATCGAAAGCTGTCTTGCCCCAAGCTTCTGAATAATGATTAAAATTAAATTATACGCGAAACCGACACAACCGAAATGGAAATCGGATTTGTTTTACGCAAGTCAAAGTGTAGAAAATTTTCTTCAATCATGGCCACCTTGGTCTTTGCCATAATGGTAATCGTCGTATGTCAGAAATAGGTGATTAAAACTTTATTGCGCTCGAACATAAAAAGCTGGGTATTCCAATTTTCCAAAACTATTATATTTTTCACTCACTCAAAATAGATTTCAATAATCCGCACAAAGATTCTCAATTGTTTGATAATGTTAAGCAAGGTTGAAACATGTTAATCGATCGAAGATACAACAATTTAAAAAATCAAATAAAGGTTGGGCAGGCCTGCACTAAATTTTGATGCATTAGATATTGTTGTTCAGCTAGGGCAAACGCTCCTATAGTTGCGGTACGTTAGAAGTGTTAGATTCTTATAGTTGTGTATTGACTGTCCATAGGAGTCTATATAGGAACCTAACGCTTCTAACGCAACACAACTATAAGAGTGTTTCCCCTATTACTATGACTATTACTTTCAAGCGTATGAAGGATATAACACAATACAATTTTCACAAACACCAATAGCAAAAAAAAATCTTCCACTAATTGCACATGTAGAAACAGACAAGCAAACTTTATTCCAAACTCAACTCAATTCAACAAAACTCTTATTCATCCCGCATCCATACGTGCACCGACTCCCCATCAGACAGTTCGGAGTCACGCTCGGCAATCGTGCCGATCACAATTGGCACCGAAAGGACGGCATACCGGTCCTGCAGGAAGCACGAATCGATTTCCAAGGCCACCTTCAGTTCGTAGCTAATTTTGATTATCTTTGAGCAGCAACTGGTTGGCTGTACCCAAGGCACTTGTAGATTGTCCTCCGCTAGGACTCCCCCATCCGGCAGGGTGATTCCCGGTGACTCATTCCTACTGACGACCAGGCTTTCCAGCCGTTGGCGAGGTTTAGGCGAACGGGCATTGAAAGTCGTCTTCTGGATGAGAACGGTTGTAACTTTGCGAATCTTCACACGGCGTCGACTGCTGACCTGTATCAGAACGGGAATTACCTGACCGGAAACGAAACCATTGGTCGGAATTTGTACCGCGAGGGATAGCGATCCCGACGGGAGACACGGCCAGCAACCAAGGTTTTTAGTGTGTTCGGCTTTGATTGGCAGGAGTAGTTCATTGTTTAGATCGAGTTTACGAATGATTCCAATGTCGATTGTATGTACTTTCGATGGTTTCCAAGGTCGTTCCAAGGTTGCTGTGACGGTGTAACGAATATGTCCGTTGTTGCTGTTGAAGGATGCTGGGATCGATTCCGGAAGGGGGCAGGCGAAACCATAGGTATAACCACCGGCTGGCATGAAATCTAGAAAATTATTGAGTTGGTTAGAACATCAACGTGATGAATTCAGCACAGACCATTCACTTGACAGAGAATTAGCTCCGAGTGCAGGTAACAGTGCAGGTAACGTTCCTTTTCACTGTAGATTACACCGGAAGCTTCATCATTTACTTGAAATAAAAATTGTTCCAAGTTCAGAAAACGTCTCCCAGCACCGTTCGGTTCACTCCACTCTGTTTTTCCGATTCCATTCAGGGCGAGTTTCAGGCCTAAAAATTATGTTTTTTTTTTCGATAATTGGAAGACTAAACCTTCCTACGTCACTTCTTACGTGAAACTTTAATGGTTTTGGTAAGGACCACAATCACTTCTCCACTCACTTCCTGTCCTGGATAGAAGCATCCGTCGGTTCCGCTGGTCAGAACGATTTCCACTTTGATGGTCATTTTCGTGTGAGGAGCGATAGTTTTACATGTTCGTAGCAGCAGCAATTTGCACGTGGTCCAGCAGGCCGATGATGATGATGCTGTTGTTGTTGTTGGTGCTACTGCTTTCGGTTGGCGCCAGCCCGTCTCGTTGGGAATGCTGTATGCGGTACATTCCTTCTACGTCATTTTCCCGTAGGACGGCGCGGTTATGATGAAACAATCTTCGCTCCTGTTTTAGTGGAACGTTCATCCGAATACATCGGGAAATGAGCGAAAGTAACCCGTTTCATTTTCACCTCTTTGAAGCAACTCGAGGCCGTTGCGCGAAGGGAAACGGATGTTAGTGGTTGAGCGGAAACGTTAGCATCAAAGGTTAGTCCTGTGTTCCTATATTTATAACTTTTGTACAGATATATCGAGTATCAACATTGTTCTGCTTTAATCTAGTACCGCAACGGCCGTACTAGATTAAAGGAGTAGAACGGTATTACTCGGTATGTGGGTCATAAGTATTACTGCTCTATTTGGCATCTTCTGTTGATATTACCATATTATTCATCTTTATCACTCGCAAAATAGGGTTAAGATCTTCTTTCTGTCCTACTAAGAACATCCTCTCTTTTTTAACTGATTTATACGAAAAAAATAAATAGGGATTGGCCTTCTAAACCCAGCGTTGCCAGATATACCAATTTATCGGTATTTGTACCGTTTTCTGAAATTGATACCGATGTACAGATAAGGTTACGCATAATACCAATTTTTGAGATTTTACACCGATTTACATGGATTTTTTAATAATCAAAACATTATTGCCTGCCCGCACTGAAGTGTAAGAGATAACTATTGTGAGAGACTTTTATCTTTTTCATTTTTATTTTGCAGAGCAGGGCGCAAGTCAATCCAAGGCTGATAGTAAAGGAGGGGTAATGGCTCGCCACATGCAGGCTACATGATCGCCATGGGAAGAGTATAAGGATAGGTGATGGTAGGTGGTTTTTAGGATTCTTTGGATTAAGGCCGCCAAATGATATGAAATGTGTAAATTTGAAACAATCCGAAATCATACTTGAAAGATCTACTCTGCTCTGAACCAAAATCGAAATTTATATAGTGATGCTTTCATCTAATCTAATCTAATCTAATCTAATCGAATCTAATCTAATCTAATCTATTCTAATCTAATCTAATCTAATACTAACGCAGCCAGTACGAGAAACCATCCTGAAAAATGATAAGGTTCGATAACGTCTAAATTTTTTTCTTGTCAACATTGGTGTTTGCAGCATATCTGAGATATGACACAAACATTAAAACGGCCAGGTCTACTGCGTTCCATTTGCCACAGACACAGACAGACAGACAGACAGACAGACAGACAGACAGACAGACAGACAGACAGACAGACAGACAGACAGACAGACAGACAGACAGACAGACAGACAGACAGACAGACAGACAGACAGACAGACAGACAGACAGACAGACAGACAGACAGACAGACAGACAGACAGACAGACAGACAGACAGACAGACAGACAGACAGACAGACAGACAGACAGACAGACAGACAGACAGACAGACAGACAGACAGACAGACAGACAGACAGACAGACAGACAGACAGACAGACAGACAGACAGACAGACAGACAGACAGACAGACAGACAGACAGACAGACAGACAGACAGACAGACAGACAGACAGACAGACAGACAGACAGACAGACAGACAGACAGACAGACAGACAGACAGACAGACAGACAGACAGACAGACAGACAGACAGACAGACAGACAGACAGACAGACAGACAGACAGACAGACAGACAGACAGACAGACAGACAGACAGACAGACAGACAGACAGACAGACAGACAGACAGACAGACAGACAGACAGACAGACAGACAGACAGACAGACAGACAGACAGACAGACAGACAGACAGACAGACAGACAGACAGACAGACAGACAGACAGACAGACAGACAGACAGACAGACAGACAGACAGACAGACAGACAGACAGACAGACAGACAGACAGACAGACAGACAGACAGACAGACAGACAGACAGACAGACAGACAGACAGACAGACAGACAGACAGACAGACAGACAGACAGACAGACAGACAGACAGACAGACAGACAGACAGACAGACAGACAGACAGACAGACAGACAGACAGACAGACAGACAGACAGACAGACAGACAGACAGACAGACAGACAGACAGACAGACAGACAGACAGACAGACAGACAGACAGACAGACAGACAGACAGACAGACAGACAGACAGACAGACAGACAGACAGACAGACAGACAGACAGACAGACAGACAGACAGACAGACAGACAGACAGACAGACAGACAGACAGACAGACAGACAGACAGACAGACAGACAGACAGACAGACAGACAGACAGACAGACAGACAGACAGACAGACAGACAGACAGACAGACAGACAGACAGACAGACAGACAGACAGACAGACAGACAGACAGACAGACAGACAGACAGACAGACAGACAGACAGACAGACAGACAGACAGACAGACAGACAGACAGACAGACAGACAGACAGACAGACAGACAGACAGACAGACAGACAGACAGACAGACAGACAGACAGACAGACAGACAGACAGACAGACAGACAGACAGACAGACAGACAGACAGACAGACAGACAGACAGACAGACAGACAGACAGACAGACAGACAGACAGACAGACAGACAGACAGACAGACAGACAGACAGACAGACAGACAGACAGACAGACAGACAGACAGACAGACAGACAGACAGACAGACAGACAGACAGACAGACAGACAGACAGACAGACAGACAGACAGACAGACAGACAGACAGACAGACAGACAGACAGACAGACAGACAGACAGACAGACAGACAGACAGACAGACAGACAGACAGACAGACAGACAGACAGACAGACAGACAGACAGACAGACAGACAGACAGACAGACAGACAGACAGACAGACAGACAGACAGACAGACAGACAGACAGACAGACAGACAGACAGACAGACAGACAGACAGACAGACAGACAGACAGACAGACAGACAGACAGACAGACAGACAGACAGACAGACAGACAGACAGACAGACAGACAGACAGACAGACAGACAGACAGACAGACAGACAGACAGACAGACAGACAGACAGACAGACAGACAGACAGACAGACAGACAGACAGACAGACAGACAGACAGACAGACAGACAGACAGACAGACAGACAGACAGACAGACAGACAGACAGACAGACAGACAGACAGACAGACAGACAGACAGACAGACAGACAGACAGACAGACAGACAGACAGACAGACAGACAGACAGACAGACAGAGGGACATGAAGGATCTCACCAAATGCCTCCAATGTCGATCAAATTCCTAATTTATGCATAAAATTGAATGATCTCACCAAAACTGGTTGGAGGTTTATTTTTTCGGAGTGAAAGCACACACACGTCCATTGACTGGCTGCCAGGATTCGTGGCTATAATTAGTAGTTCGGTTGTCCAACAATATCAGAGCTTCCATCCCTTTTCCAAAAAAATAATGGGCTTGGTGCCTCGCTTGGTGCACAGCACAGGCGGCGATATATATGTAGAACTCACGGACAGAGTACGATCCGACAATGATACGTTTTGGCGTAGGACTACGTCTGTGATTACTATATGGGGGTACACTTTGTGAAAACCGAAAATGGAACATGTAACAAAATTAGGAAAGACTTTGAACATAAATAACTCAGCTGCCCCTGGACCAATTTTAATAATTTTATCACCAATCGATCAGAAATATTTCTACGCATCAATAGCAGTCTGACTGATGATTTTCAACAAGAAACTATTGAAAAAGTGGTAATGTCTAGCATTGTCCAATGTACAAATAAAAAGTGATAATTTTATCACTATTTTCATGAAATAAACCGCTGATAATACTCAGTCGAGTATTAGTACAAGACACTGAAGAAGTCTGCACATTGTAGACGAAATACGCGTATCTGTCAAGGATAAGCAAATAAAGTAGTGGAATTAAATGGAAAATACTAATCCTTCTCTCTCTCATTATATGAAATAAACGTTCTTCCCAAACCCAGTCGTCATAGTCGAGTACCTTTTTAGTTGCGCATCATTCTGCTTTAACCTGAAAAGATATAAAAGAGCACTGTTGTCTAGCCTCAACTGATTTTCACTTCGGACGGCGTGGTGAGTAGACAGCAGAAGCAGCAGTAGAAAGGTGGTAACAGGTTAAGTAGTCCACTCTTCTACCTAACAAGCAACAATGACTGGTCGTGACAAAGGAGGAGAAGGTCTTGGTAAAGAAGGCGCAAAGTGTCATCGCAAGGTTCTTCGTGATAACCGCCATCCGTCGTCTGGTTCGCCGTGGTGGTGTCAAACGTATCTCCGGTCTGATATACGAGGTGTGCTGAAGGTGTTCTTGGAAAATGTGATCCGTGATACTGTCACCTACGCTGAACACGCCAAGAGCGGCCATGGATGTCGTCTACGCTTTGAAGCGACAGACACACTCTGTACGGTTTCGGGGGTTGAATCATGACCAACTTTGGCAACAGAACGTGTCCCTATAGGCACAGACTCTTATACTTTTTTTTCACGGCGCACGGTCACTTTCGCTTCACTCTAGAGGAGTCGCATTTGAATATTTGTCTATTGCCAATTAAAACTATTTATTTGCACAGAAGTTTAAGCCGAAACGAGCGAAAAAATATGACAGTGAAAACACAAACACGTGACCAGTGCCTACTTCGATGTTATTTATATAGTGATGTTTTCATGTATACTTGCCCTGCTAATCCAACACCAAATAACCTTAAGAGACGTGACGGTACATTTAACAACTATGCACAAATTAAAAATCTAATATGTTTTGTAACAAACGGCTACAGTAGCATTTCATATTCCATTGATCGTAAATCATCTCTGTTTCGCTTTAGTATGGTTTAATAAATATCCGTGACCTCCGGTGTGATCAACTATAGCGTTTTACACCGTCCCATTTTAGCTTATATTTTTATAGGAAGGAGAACAAGGCATAAAAAGATTTCTTGGTCTTCTTAATTCGTTTTGCCGTTATTTCCTTACGCGTTAAACTACTTGTTATATACGCGCCTAGGTAGCGAAGCTGCGTTGTTATTACAAGTTCGTAGCTTCCAAACATTCGTACTCTATCTGGGTCAATACTGAGGATGTCGTAGGGATCGCGAATGAGAACTTTTGGCTGTAGATTTGAAAACATACTTTAAATCTCCGCGTACATCGTACGGGTTAGGCAAAGAAGTGTGCGTTTGACTGCTTGTACTGTCACATTAATGGCCCTTCGCTCCTCATTTTCAACTTCTATTCAATTTTCATACTACCGTACTCTAACGGAACTATCTACCTACCCTCTTCTAAAACCATTCTCTAGCTAATAAATTATCACACTAAAGCTTCATGTTAGATAGCATTTCCAACTAACTCTGAACTGTTGTCTTTTTTGTATTGATTTGTAATCTGACAGATGCTCTAGTGGTTCTAGAATTCCCAATAGCCTTGCGATATAAGCCAAAATGCATGGCATCTTCAGATGGCGATTGAACTCGAAATTCATCTCTGGTACGAATTCTTATAGGGTCATTAAAAAGTAATGAAAAATCAAAATGAACAAACGAGGGCTGAGAGGGTAACCCTGCTTAATTTCACGTCCTTTCGTCATAGTCGGAGTCCGTTGACCGTACCGTATTTTCGTTAAATCCTTTTTTCATCAGTTTCAATAGCACGTCGGTTAAATGTTCGGTCCCATATTTGAATAGCTCGGCCGGTAGTCCATCCAGACCAGGAGCTGCGTGGTTTTTCATTCGATGCAGAAGATTTTGAATTCCTATCCGGGTGGGTTCAGTACCTGGAGAGCTTCCTTCTTCATTCAACCTAGCAAATCCATCCTTATTTGCTACGGACTTTCTGAGCTTCTCTTCCCACTTTTGAATGCTAATGTATGTACGGTTCTTTGTGCGAACAGTAGTTTTCTTATTTTTTTTTATAAATTGGAATGCTCCCGTCATTTGCTCCAGAGGGTTAACAAACTCATCAAGAAAAGATTTTACTTTCTCCTAGAACTGATGATTCTCAGCTTCTTATTTAAGTTTTCTGGCCCTGGCTCGCTCCTTCTTCAACAGTCCGTTGTTCCGATCTTCTAATAACTTCCGATGAGCAAGAAAATATCTTTTCGAATCCACTGCTCCACGAGGGGTCATCATCATTAATGGATAATCCAAAATTCGTTGGTATCTTTCTCGACAATCCTCAGCAGTTTTTAGTTTTTCCAGCTCGATGTTCACCTTTTTAGTAAAATGTCGAGCGCTTCTGACTTTCTTCTCATTTGGATCATCATTTCTTCTATTCTTCAATCTGTTGTTGTTAGATGTTAGATTGCGACTGGCCCACGTCACTTTTACTGATTCGAAATTACTTAATGAAACATAATCTCTTATGTTTAAGCAATGCAACATGTTGTTAAGTTCAAATCCATTCGCATTACAGTAATCGTGCATAAGATTTCGTCCTACGTACTGATGATCATCTTCTGCTAGGTCAATCCTTCTAATTCTTGCATTCATATACCCTGCAATTATGACACGATCTCGGCAGCTCTTAGGTAGGCTTGACACATAATAATGTTAATGTGTCGAATTCACTATTAATACGAATCTCTGCACTCGTAATGCAGGTTGAAATAAAAAACGATAGGGCTCTTGAACAGCTGGCACAACATGAGTTTGTGGCTGATTTTTTTTTAAACAGCCTTCGAAATAGATCCGTTTGTTGATTAATATAGCTGTGCCACCCCGACTCTGTCCCTTAGCGTGGAAACGTCATTGACATTGAACGCTCAGTAGTTCTGCGTATTTATAGTACAACCCGCCATTCTAGTTTCTTGTAGAGCTATGATTAAGAGTCCTTTTCGGAATGAGCACGCATCCAATAGTTCCTGTTTGGATCTATCAGAACATCCTCTTACATTCCATGATCCGAATCTAAGATCCTCTCTTTCCAGTACAATTTGTTGAGACATTGCAAAGGTGGAAGAAACTGTAGTTTTCACGCTAATCTGCGATTCATTTGGCATATTATTCCTGTGCCAAGCTTCAATATTTGGTACCGGTGGGAGATATTGACTGCCAATATTGTACTTTATGACTGGTCCATCTTCGTTGAACACATTTCTGAACAGATTTCGGAAGCCACTGCAATTATTTCTTCGCCACCCCACTCTATTTCGTGTTCTAACCGGAATAACAAATACTATCCTTAACAAACCTTCCAAATGTTTGTTAAGGGTAGTATTTACTAACATCGACGTCGACAATAAAACAGCCTGTCAAACAGCCTGTCAGCTGAATAATGAAGCTCCAACCGGTGTTATCCTCGGATTGAATTAATATCCAGCTGCTTTGACTTTGCTTGAAGTATTTTTAATTACCTTGCATTTGATGTTTTGATCTTTGAAATCGGCTCAGTGGTTCAAAAGTTATAAATTAAAAAGAAAAAGTAATAAAAACGATTTTTTGGACAACCCTAATGTGGAAATGGTCACCCTAATTACAAAATAAAAAAATACGGGTCTAACATTTTGCGATAAGGAACAAAACTACTAATTTGTACGAAATTCTGAGAACCACTATATTCAATGGCTGCATTTCAAGTCATTTAACACTCCTTGGCGATTTGAAAGCAACAAATTGCAAAATATTTCAAAGAGAAAATAGACTCCTACAGCATTTAGGTTCAAGGATATCTGATCGCGCGCCTTGGAGCAAGCAGCTAATTTACGTTTTACGACTAATTATTCTACCACCTTACTGCCTATGTTTAACTTCTACGCCTTTATTTATGTTAAAGTTCACCGAACGCTTTCCCATTCTTCAATTTGGGCAGTTTCCTCCCTACATCGCAATTCACCTGTCCAAAATGACCATTCATCAACATGGCTTGGCATGATTGCTCAGACCTGACGTCAGCATCATCGACGCCCACGTTCTTCGGCGCCCACATGTATGTATGTATATGTAGGTCACTGGTAGTATGCCGGAGGAAAAATCTCCCGTCGCGCACTACTACGGCCCCGAAAATAGAATGAGTAAACATTGAGCCAGCAATATAATGAATGACACACTACGACGATACCCATTGTTCGCCAACCGCCTGGAGGGTATGCAATATCGTGCCCACTGCTCATGCGTGCCCAAGTCCCCCTCAATTATCCGTCGTTCACGTCTTGGAGTAACCCTGAGCATAATTTGACAAGTTCAGTACTTAAGGTGCAATTTACATTGATGTATTTTCGAAAAATTCAAACCCCATTTTTTTCGACGAATCATTTCAGATTACAAGAAAAAAGAGAATGTAATGACGAAAGCTTTTTGCAATCTCAAATACTGCGACGAAAAAAACTGGTTTTGAATTGTTCGATCATCGCACCTTAATACACACTACTATCGAAACATGGCACCAACACACGCACCCAAAACACGAGTGCACGAAGGCACGTAGGCACGCACGGGAACTGCTCGGCTACGTTGTTGCGCCTGGAAGGCATGCATACACCGTAGCTTGTTCCTGGATTCCTTTTTCAGTGTTTACTAAGAGCTCGCGAAACGAAAACGGTTGCACCACACCTTCCGCTGTTGAGACGCAATTTTTCATCTCTAGATGATCTCAATGGTTGTTGAGATTTTGAATTAAAGTGCTGAAGCTTAGGCTGATTTTGGGATTCTTTTGGACAATAATTGGAAAGTTATAACACCATGCCGACCAGTTGTAAGATATGGTTGCGAAACGAGAACAACAAGGTGTACTACTGTGGCGAGAAGTTGGAAGGCAATGTCGAGCTGACGGTGACCGAGGCGAAGAGGATGAATGGTAAACATGGACGTTTTTCCGAATTTCCTAATTCCAGATAACGATTGCTTTTGGACGAAAATCGTAGGGTAAAAATCGAAATTTCCATTAAAATTTATTGAGTAAGTTGCTCCAAGTTGAGAGCAGATTTTCCTGAATAAATTCAATGACGTTTTCAAATTCGCTGAAGAAGAATCAATTGGTGATGCTGTGCATGTGAAGGAAAATGGGCGCGACTGCTTGATGTTGATTGTAGGGGGGTGGGGTGATTGTATATCCTGCAGGGGTGAAGCAGGCGTAGTGAAAGCTTTAGTGAAACGTAGTTTTCTTCTGCATATTTTTTTTTCTCGCGCAGGTATTAGATTGATAATCGCCGGTGTGGCTACGGTGGATTGGTTCCACTACCGTGGGCCAAAACGGGCAACACCATTCAAGGGAAGCGAAGCTTGCTTCGATTCGGAGATCGATTTGCTGGGAGCGAATGGTTAGATTTTAGTGAATATAACAGCAGTCGCTTACTACGATTGATTGGAACTAACTCTATTCTCAGGTGACGAGACGGACGTTCCATCGGGGACAACCTCGTACAGTTTTGATTGTTTCCTGCCGGACTCACTGCCTGCTACGTTCGAAGGCAAGCACGGTCGGATTCAGTATATCATAACGGTAATTTTGCAACGAGCCGGCAAGGTCGATAAAACATTTACGATCGATTTCATTGTGTTGAGAAATTTGGATCTGAACGCAGAACCTTCGGCCATTCGACGTCCAGCGAGAACTGAAACCAGTCAAACGTTCCGCTGTTGGCCATGTCGATCCGGACCGCTATTGGTTGAAATGCAAACTCCGGCTACCGGGTATGTTGCAGGTCAGAGGATTCCAGTTGTATTGGAGGTCAGCAATCGAAGTGGCTGCAAGATTCATCTCATCCAACTGAAATTGGTGATGGTCGTTTCGTACACCAGCGACACCCCGCGGGTTAAAGTTAAAACCGTCCGTGAAGATATAGCTGGAGCAGAGCTAGATCAAGTTGAGGATCCAGACGTGATCAGATACGAAGAGAGCCTACTGGTACCTCCAACGCCGGTGACCAGTGCCAGCGATAGCTGTAAGATAATTCAAATCGTGTACGAACTGGAAGCGGAGCTGGAAGTTGGAGCCTTGCATCAGGTGATGAAGCTGAACATTCCCATCGTTATTGGAACGATTGCGCTGGATGCCGATCGACGGGAGTCTACCATAATGGAACTGGAATCGTAAGCACGACAACACCACCAACAATTCATGTTAACGTTATACATCCTCGATCTAAATTTATCAAAGTAATCTTATATTAATGTTTTACAATATATCGATGCTCGCTAGTATAAATATACTCCACACAATAATTTTCGCTCAAACGAACGATGACATGTTTTATTTTATTTTGACGTAGGACTACGTCTTTGATTTCTATATGGGGGTACACTTTGTGAAAACCGAAAATGGAACATGTAACAAATTAAGAAAGATTTTGAACGTTAATAACTCAGCTGCCCCTGGTCCAATTTCAATAATTTTATCACCAATCGATCAGAAATATGGCTACGCATCGATAACAATGCTTCCGAATGTTGATTTTCAACAAGAAACTATTGAAAAACTGGTAAATGTCCAGCATTGTCCAAAAGCGTCGAATTAACTAACAAATCCACCAATTACCTACATGCATATGCTGCTTCCCCAGCACAGTCGTCAGAGAGTGGTAAGTAGACGAAACAAGTCGAAGTGGCATTCGCCTCCGATCCTCGGGCGCGTGCGAACAGGGAGGATGGAATTGCGTAATATTTTGCACACTCATCGCCATACTCAGAACCACACGCTCCCAACGACCACACCACTGTGTGTTGGTGTTCGGTCGTCGAAATAAGTAGTAGCAGTAGCAGTGCTTTCGGCGTGTGGCGTTGAAAATTGTTCTCCAGTAACAACCAAAGGCTGCCTGCAAGCAGCGAGCTGCAGAGCCCACATAAGCAACCATCAAAGGAGGAAGAAGCTGCACAGCTATGCTATGGATCGGAATCAGTAGCTCTTCGTGAGTCGCTGCGGGTCGGTCATCTATGCCAAGCGTGTCACCTTCGCTCCAAACGACATACAGCTCGACAGCCTCATCCGTGTTGAACACCCAGCTCAGGGCCACCAAAAATTTGTTAAAGAGTATTATTTGGACATTTGTCAAGGTCATCAGTTCCCGCAAGCAGCTAGCTATCAAGGCTCAACCTGTCTATAGAAGGTGTGGAATTGTAGGCCTGAATATATTGGTGCAATTAGTTTTTCCTCGGCTTTCATTCCGCACGATTTGTTTATTTCGTTTAATCAATCACCCTTGTAGTGACGTCGAAAAGATTGTTTCAATCGGCGCTTACATATGAAATTTTATTTGGATTATAGAATTTTTTGTATGTTACCAAAATGTATGAATGGTTTGCCACTAAATGTTGAGATAATTTATTGATTATTGAATTATCACACTGTATACCATGAAAAAGCAGCCTGTTTGTGGGTTTTTGCCTGTTTTCAAGTAAGGAGTTATCATAAAAAAACAAATCGCCAGCTGGTATTTCCCGGCGACTTTACAAATAAATAAAGTCAAACAAAATCATCATGCAGAACTAGCTAGGATTTGTTTTACTTCATATTTCACAAAATTGCTTTCGAGTGTTAAGACATCGTCTCCCGCAAAGTTTACATTTTTCCCTCTACCAACACATACATCAGATTTTCATCAGAGTGTCGCCCAGTTCGAGATCAAGAGCACATTGCTCTCCAAACCTTGTGTTCACAATCCCTACCCTGCCATCCATTTGTTTCAATTTGTTACCCCTAACCTCGAGATAGCCGCGAGTAATCGGCCCCCGCTTTACTAACGTTAGTTTTAAGTAATTTTGTTATCTAAACAATGAATATCGGCTCCGCAAAGCTACAGCAAATGAGCCTGGAAAAATAAACGAATTATTGAAAAAAAAAAAAAAAAAAAACACATACATCAGGGCTAGATAGATCTCCACAGGATCTATAGAATCTACGCAATGTAAAAAACCAAAATGCACAGCATTACGAAAAGAGGTCAGGTATCGACCAATAGCAGATAGATTTTAATTCTAAACAAGCCAAACGATTGTAAATTTATCTACCAATCTGCTAAAATGAACACTTAATTAATTTTCAATAGGTCACTATTGAAAAATACCAAATGTCCAACTGTTGCAATGGTGATCAAAATTATCACCGGCTGTCTGAAAACAGCGCATTCCCTAACACAGACTTAAAAATCGAATTCGATGCGGTCCCACTGAACGGTGCTCATTCAATCACCGTAAGTGGTGGTGTCCAGTCCAGCAGCAGCAGCAGGAGTGCTTTCAACAACAACAACAACAACAACGAAAGGCTGCCTGCAAGCAGTGAGCTGCAGAGCTCATATGAGCAACCATAGAGAAGGATCCTCGAGGAAGAAGTCCCACCGCTAGGCTAGGATCGGAATCAGTAGCTCGTCGTGCTCAGCTCAGCATTACTCAACCATCACTACAAAACGGTCCTTTTCAGGACCACCATAAATTCGTTAAGAGTTTTATTTGGACATTTGTCAAGGTCATCAGTTCCCGCAAGCAGCTAGCTATCAAGGCTCGACCTGGTCTCTATAGAAGGTGTGGAATTGAAGGCCCGAATGTATTGGTGAGATTAATCATCATCCGACCATTTTTCACAACACGCTGGTAGGAAGTGTTAAAAATCCATATAGAAGTTGAGAGAAGTGGGAATAATTCGCTTTGGGTGTATATGCAGTCCCCAGAAAGCCAATAAAATCAAATTTGTGAGAAAATTTGCTCTCACGAGTTCAATCTCTCGAGGTCCCTCCTTTTTTACATATTCTGCACAAACGATACTTTCCGCCCCGCCCCATTCATATAATTCGGAAGGAAATCCTGTGAGGGGTGAATTGAATACACTTTAATACCAAAATGCACAAAACTTAAAAATTCATAAATAAGAAAAAAAAATTCAAAATACACCTTTTAAAGTCGGGTAGACGAATCGAAAATACTCAAGTTGACAGTCCCTTGGATTCTCTTCATCAACTTTCTCTTTGAAATAAATACTACAAATTTGATACGCTTACAAATAAAAAACGGAAAGAGTTAAGATAATTGATGATTGATCAATTAAAAGAACTAAATGTTCACATTTGTTCCGTCCACTAGCGGTCCTACGTCAAGCTTCCGTTCGTGCCCCTAGGCACAGACCCTTCTACTTTTTTTTAAGAGCTTTATTCCACCTTTGATAGTTAAAACCAAAAGATTCTGTTTTGTCAAGATATGGAATGGTTATCCGAGGAAATGACGATAACTTGATTACGTCTTTCGGCAACATATTTTTGGTGCAATTTCAAAAACCAAAATCGACCGTGTTACGAAAGGTGGTCAGGTTTTGACTACTTATAACTCTGTCAACAGCGGAAGGATTTTCATTCTAAACAAGCGAATCGATTGGAAACATTTCTACAAATCTGCTTAAAAGAACACTATCAATTTTCAATAGGCCACTATTGAAAATTTCACAAAAGTCCAACTGTTGCAATCACAAACGAAGTGACAGACGGAGCGGCTCGAAAACTTTGGTGACTAACCTGCTATTGCAATTTTTCAGTGTACCACATGGCAACACCACTACCACTGGATTGTACCACATGGCAACACTACTACTGGATTGAACTAGCATTTTCACCAAATGTACTAGAATGTTTTGGTTCTATCTCTTTCACTCTACTCAAAACTGGAATGCATAAAAAATGACAAAATGATATACACTCTTTGCACACTGTCAAAGAATCATTGTACACAAAATCAACTTCGTGCAAAACCAAAACAAAAATACTATCCCATCTGGTGGATGATGGCACAAGCTTCTAAGAAAATTCTATTAAGTGAACCACATTATTTTAATTGATTTCTTCGCCAGTAAGTCGTCTGTCACTTCGTTTGTGGTTGCAATGGTGATCAAAATTATCACCGATTGTCTGCAAAAAGTGGTTTCCCTAACACAGTCGTCATATGTTGATACCGAGCACGTAATCCTACGTCAAATCTACGGTCGTGTCTTGGATACAACCTCTTATTTTTTTAAAACCTATATATATCTCCTAGCATAAAAAAATTTGACCATCCGTAGACCTATCTTTCATGAATGCTGCTTGATGGTAGTCTGGATCTCTTGCTTATTCCCTAAGCCTCTGCATATGCCACTTAGCGTAAATGTTATACCCTGGATTACATAGACTAAACCTTCTAAAATCATGTGTTTCTTTTTCTTATATTTTGAAATAGGTATTTGAATCGATCTGGAATAACATTTGCTACCCACACTTTTTAAATTATGCTAAACAATTCATCCAGGTGCTTTTCCATTTGCCAAACTTCTGATAATATTCCTTATTTCATCTCTACGTGGTCCTTCCGCTAAGCTTTCATTATCAATTCCTATACTAATTGGTTGTCCTTCTGTTAATTCTTGGTTTCTTAGGCTTATTACATCTCATAAATTGCTTCAATAACATATACGATCTCTTAATCCTCTCACCTATCTCGTAGTCTTGTAGTTCATCATAAAAGCTAAAAAAACTACAAAGGACAGCCCTATGGAGTTACACGCAATGGTGACGTACGACTACTTGCACGTGGTCTTATATAATAAATCTTATTTGTTAACTGCAGCAGGAGCTTGTGTTTTGTGTAGGAATCGAGGGGGGCGACACATCTAAATCTCCAGTTTAGATGCTCAACAAATCTCACACTAGCGAATCAATCTTCGAAAAATCTGCTTTCATTTGTCGCATCTACTTGCATCGCTCATCATCTTTTTGCAGGAAATCTTCAGAATCGTCATCAATCTTCTTTCTATCTACTCAGCGTGCGCGCAGCTAGCCACAGCAAAACACAATCTTTTTTGCATCGTAGATAGAGTCGTCCCCCTCGGTAGGAATAGGAATTTGAGCGGGGTTGTCTCTGTTTATACTCTTTAGTATGACGCGCTTGGCATAGATGGCCCACAGCGACTCACGAAGAGCTACTTTTTTTTTTTTTTTTCCTTTATTTTAGAGATTTTTAGCCTGAGGCTAGTTCATCTCTTTAGTCATGGGTGAGGCCTCAGAAGGAGAACCTTCTACGGAGTTGTTTGACAGAGTTTTAACAATTTGATCGTTTTCCTTAATGACTATCTAGGGTGACCACCATCATGAGGGTCAAAGATTTATCCCATGTGGTGTCCCTCCTGCTACTGAGAACTGTAAAATACAGCTTTCCTGGCTCTTCGCGAAAAAACAAGTTAAAACACATGGAACGATGACCTGAACGAGACGACACCGTGACGAGGTCCAAAGGCTCATCCCGTCCGGTGCCGTCCCGACAGCTAGCAGAAAACAAACAAAAAAAAAAAAAAAAAAAAACTGATACTAGCAACTGACTACAAAAACGGACTAAATTTGATGATACAAATTCGCCTCCCTCAGGAATACCAGGAGGGCGTCGGCAGCAGGCGAGTCCTCTCCGAGCAGGTTCCGGATGCTGGAGGTAATCCCGTAAGTCTCCCGGAGGTCCTGGAATTCCGGGCAGACACACAGTAGGTGTTCGACGGTTGCCGGAACGTGGCAGATAGTGCAGCTCCTGCGGAAGGGTCCTCCGCCGAAGTTGAGATATAGACGGCAGTGTCCAGTCCTCAGCCTCGAGAGTATCCTCTGGTCCGGTAGGTTTCGGAGGTCCGTCCATGCCTCCGTGGTTCCCTTGATTTTCCGGATGAAAGGCCCTCGAGTGCTGGCCCATTGGTCGGTCCATGCCTTCCGAACGGTGGCCTTAATCCACCGTCTGACGTCCTGGAGGGGAACTTTGTCGGTGAATCTGGGACCCGACGGTCCAGTTCCAGCGAGTTGGTCGGCTGCCTCGTTTCCGGGAATTCCGCAGTGGCCGGGTATCCACGCAAAAACGGTATTACTGGGTGCGTACTTGACAGTAGCCTGAATCCACGGGTGGGTGGGAGTTGCCGAGCAGAGCTCTTGGATAGCGCTGTACGAATCTGTCAAAATAAGAATCGGTTGATTAGCTGGTGATGTGGCCGCGTGGAAGATCGCGGCCGCTTCTGCCGAGTAAACGGAGCACTGCGGTGGTAGGCTGTTGCTGACGAGTATTCCACTTCCGGATACTCCGATGCCAACGCCCGTGTTGGATCGGGAACCATCGGTGTACCGGTGGGTGAAATCGGTAAACTTGGACCTGAGAAGCTCAGCTACTGTGCAACGTAGGGCTACAGAGTTGTCTCCTGCTTTGAACCGATTCTTGATCGCGTTTTCGATTATGAGTTTGGAAGAGAGCCAACTCTTCTCTCCGTGCCAGTGGATCCTAGCCACCGGGGGGAGGTCGATGCTGGCGATCGATTGCATGATTCTATCCCCCTCGTCGAGGAGGAAGACTCTGCCATTCCCTGCTGTTTTGGCGGCGAAGGATGCAGCTTTGTACAGCGTGGCGTTTATGATGCGGTACCGAAAGGGTAGAACCCCTGCTTCAACACACGCAGAATCTGCGGGGGTGGAAGGTAGGAGACCGGAAATACGAAGAGCTACTGATTCTGATCAGCAAGCAGCCTTTCGTTGTGTACTGGTGGAGAACACCACCACTAACATCGCAGTGATTAGACAAACACCGTATGGTGAGACCGTATAGAATTCAACTTTGAAATCTGTGTTAGGGAAATCGCTTTTCACAGGCAATCGGTGATAATTTTAATTATCATAGCGTCAGTTGCACATTCGTGCAATTTTCAATAGCGACATTTTGAAAAATGATCAAGTCCGTATTTTAACAGATGCGTAGAAATATTTCTGATCGATTGGTGACACAATTATTGAAATTGGTCCAGGGGCAGCTGAGTTATTAACGTTCAAAATCTTTCATAATTTTGTGTACAAAGTGTACCCCCATATAGAAATACAGACGTAGTCCTACGGCAAAACTTTCTTTTTAATTTGGCTATTTCACTTTAATTTGGCCCTTCGTTTTTGGCGCTTCCATGCAGCGATATTGTGAATACAAATCCGTAGCTCAAATTGCTATTAAATGGAGCTGCATACAAGACAAGATCTTCGAATGGATGGTGGCTACATATCTTACCAGGTTCCGCCACCGCTCCCGCATTCAAGCTGGCCAGTCGCCATTGATCGTTTCTTCTGGGATTCCGTAATCCAGTCAATTTTCTAATTTTTCCTTTTTCTCGAACTTCAAACAAAAATTTCACACGCGTTGGTCAATATTCCGTAACAAACTAAAATCTGAATTTACTCACGAGAAAATATTATAAAATTTTACTAGCGTTTTGAAGTTATAATTAATGCAATTAACGTTTATGAAACAGAAAATGTCAAAAATTGAAAATCAACCGCTCTAGAGCAAAGCCTACTCGTACTTTTGGGTGCGGTGCTCGATGTCAAAAAGCAAATCAAGAACAATAGTTTAACAATTCTTCGGTACACGGGGTAATACTAGTTACATTATTTGACAAATCTCAAAGCAGTTTTTGGACGTTCTTCTACCAGTAATTTTAAGAAAATGAGGCTATAAACTTCGGATGTTTTACGCCTATAGTAAATAAAACCCTATTTTCTCAATGTTCTAGAAGAAAAATATCGAAAATAGTGCTTCATGGTAAAGTTCGAGTGGTAGGAAACGTCTTTTTAAACTACTCGAATTATGATCCGTTGTCGATATTTGAACGGGAAAACACAAAAATTCTCATATTTTTTTTAAAAAAACTGAATGATGAATGGCACGTCAAGCGATTGATTATAAAACAGAAAAGCTGAACAGTGGACGTATTTAATGGATCACCCCTCCATTGATTTGCAAAGCTACTGCGAGAATATTTTCGAATCTTTTTACAATTCCACACATTCGATGTCGATAGTTAATGCATTCATCCCCATTTGATGTGATCGAACAGCAGATTTCGCACCCGAAGAGACTGCTGCGCTAAAAATAAGTACAGATTTATAAGCTTCCTTCAAAAGATCTCATGACATGGTTGTGCATTAGACTGATGATTACCCGGCTCGGAACCGCTTGAGCACAGTGGAGTGAAAATTTCAAATTTTGCATCAGCCTATTGTGCATGCATAATGCAAAGTATTGAGTGGAAGTGTCATCGTCATTGTGAGAGTGCAACAGCCACAGTCACAGACGTATTGGCCTGTTGCACAGTTTCTTCCACCAATTCAGTGATGTGATGAACTTGGTGGTAGACGGTTTGCTATATAGTTAGGTGTTCCGGTACTGATACAACCCATCCATTTTGGTTGGACGTCAAAGTATATCAAATCTAAATAGCCTACATTCAGGATGATATGCTGCGAAATAAAGCTGGATAATGATCCCCCGGGAATATTCTACAGTGGCCAAGTGCTGAAAGGTCACGTTGAACTACGGCTCCACCGAGCCCATGAAATCGATTGTACGTATTTATATGGCAGTAATGAAATATATGTGTTCAATACGCAGAATATATGTCATTGTAGCATTCATGCTCATTGTTGCGGGAATCGTTCAAGTGGAATTCCTAAGCAACCGGTATGTCAAGAAAACAAAGGATGTCCTACGATCGACAGCTGCTTTGATTAAGCAAAATCAGACGAAAGGTATGTACCGTGCGAAACACCTAATAAATAAAACAAAACCCGTATACCTCATACAAAATGTATAGGGAAGAACAGAGGACAAAATGCACCGTGGGCAAAACGCCCGATTTGGTTTTTCATATCTATTCCCCTCTTAGTTCTGTTTAAGTACTAAACTAGCAGTTGTCAAATGTATGAATTAAACGCGTTTTCCTCCGCGGTGCATTTTGGACTCTGTTCTTCCCTATACATTTTGTATGATTGAAACTGAGATAAACACTTTCAGCAACGACTGTATCCTCCGGCACGTACATTTACAACTTTTCCACTGTACTGCCGCAAAACCTGCCTGCTTCGATGTCGAGCGAATTTGGAAAAATCCTGTATTGCGTCACTGCCGAATTAAGGCGCCCCTGGAAACAAAAACTGTCGTATTCAACACTTTTTCACGTGGCAAGAATATACGATCCTATAAATATACCATTCGCACTGCAACAACCGGTACGGTCTCAGAAAACAGTTACCATATGCTGTTTTCCGTGCTCCAGCGGACCACTGCCTGTTACCATTAGTATCCTTAAAACCGGGTATGTGGCTGGCGAAACCATTCAGTTGGCTGTTTCTCTGGACAACAATACAAATTTCAAAATTGACACTGTGGATGCATCGATCGAGCAAAAGAGTTTCTTCTATTCCTCGTTCCTGGAGGATTTCAGGCGAACTACCGTCGTTGTAAACAGGGCGTATGAACGAGTAGACGGCACGCACTATACACAACAAATAGACATCCCTCAAGTGTATCCCAGCTTTTCTTCCAAGATTATGGTCATCGCATACCGGCTGAAGGTCCTGGTAGAGTTGAATGTTTGTGAGCAGATAGTCTATTTCAAAATTCCAATCATCATCTGGGCCGGTGATCCTTGGCCATCCTCGTACAGACCGAACCAATCGGTGGATTCAGGTTTGCGGGTGGTACTGCCTCTTCAAGCAACCGAAGACAGCGCTACTGCCATCGCCGAATCGTTGGAAAACGATGAAAGAGGTTAGTTTAAATTATGCTGGATCGCAGTTAACTTTGATTTTGTGGCTTTCATTCGCAGATCCTCCTGACTACGCGGCAGCCATGACAACCAACGTGGTGAACATTGGCTTTATAACGAAGGTGCGTGATTAGCAGTAAGTGTACCGTTAGTAAACAAGTGTATTGTTTTTGCACTAAGAGGATTAATGTTAGCTGAACTGCAGATTTTTTTTTTCATGATGTATATGGCAAACTTGTTCATTGCAACTCACTTTAAGAAGTTCCTTAAACTTGCGACCCACCAATATACAATTACCAATAATCAACAAAAAGACTTTAGAAACGTCAAAATATTCAAATACCCAAAAATGGTCTAGAAAACCCCTTTAAATGGCCCTGAAATGATCTTGGACCAACAAAATTGGCCCTAAATACTGTCATCGCGATTTACATACAAACGCAAAAAAGGCTTTAAAACTACAAAATGGCAAACAAATTCCACTTGAATAATTTTTGTTTCCATGACAGATACCTATTTTGACTGCAATGTGCAGTAAGTGTCAATCAGCGTCAATCTCTTTAAAGACTTATAAAAATTTAACCCCCCTAAGCACTCATCCCCTAGGTAAACATTTCAAGACAATAGGTATAAAAATGAAACTACAACGTGCCGAATCGGAAGATGTGTCTAATTAATAACCTAATAATTAAGTAAAGTAAAGAAGGAAAATCTATACAACTATTTAATAAGAAACCCCCGAAGGATTGTTAAGCATCATAATGAAGTAATGAAATTGGGTTGTTAGTGGAGTATTCTGAAAAGGCAATTCAATTCCCTACAACTTTGTCTTAGTCGTCATTTCGATTAGATGAGCCGTTTTCGTGCTATTTCTCCTGGGGTACAAGGAACATATCCGGATGTGGTCAATTTCATCCTGCACGCTCAACATGATAACCACTGATCGTATTTTTTGAATTTTCATGTGATTTTAGATGTCTGATTCAGGCCGTTTTGTAGACTCACGATCCGCATTCATTGTAACACATGCCAACAATATCTTCGGAACTACAATACCTTTCTTATGGCGGTTGTTGCGTCCAATTCTGGCCAGTGGTTGCTGAGAAACACGTCACCCAAAATTGTGTATCAGTTAGAGGGAGAGCACTCAAATTTCCAAACAAAGTGTTATTTTGGACCAGCCTAATGTGCACCTATCAAAAGTGATGATATTTTAGAGCCGGAAAAGATTATATTTGATAGAAATATTCACTAATACCAAACGTGTGCTACCAAACTGAGAATCGAATTTTTATGTGTGTTGACTTCACAAGAAATATATGGTAAATGTTGCAAAAGACAGTTAATTAAACGAAACAACAGCCCTTGATTATTTCGACTTGGATGAGTTGAATGAATGTATGAATGTGTGTTTGCTGATGTAAAAAGATTGAATTTGGCAGAACTGGCATCACTTGCCTCCATAGAGTAGAAACACATTGTATCAGTCGTTAGTAGCTAGTTGAGCAGATCGGACTACCGAATAAAGTGCTTGTTAACGGGACGCCTATTTTGTGTATTTACTTCTGAAAATCCGATGCCTGTTACATGGTGTCAGAAGTAAAAGGATACCAGGACACTTGTAAAAGGTGCAGTGTAATTTGTGGAGCGTTTAGTTTGCATTGCGATGAAGTGCGGTTTGGTCGCGACAACCGTGGAAACGAACGTTCCAGAAGCGTGAAGCGTGAATACGAAAACAAACAGTTGTGTGTGTGTGTGATGCCGAGCCACTCGCATCATCCGAGGGTTGTATGAGTGAAACGTTTGACTAATACAATCACGTCGGCACATAAGTGAAAACAAAACAAAAACAAATATTGCCGGATTGTGCGCGTGTGTTGATGACTTTGAGTGAAATACGCTATGGATCAGCGTTTGCCACAACCACTTGACTGCTCAAATCTGGCAAAAGAGTGGCCGAAATGGAAGCAACAATTTTGCATCTACATGATCGCGACGAACAAAAATGAGGAATCGGAGAAGAACAAAATAGCAACATTTTTGTGGCTCATCGGGGAACGAGGGCTGGAAATTTACAATAATTTGTTTCCGAACAATGGGGACGTCGAAAGTTTGTTTGGTGCTGCTGCTGTTGGAGGTGCTGCTGCTGAGGGTGCTGCTGCTGGAGGTGCTGCTGCTGGTGGCGCTGCCGCTGCCAATGCTGCCGCTGGTGCTGGAGCTGCTGCACCTGCTGGTCGACGAGCCGAGCGTACACTTACGCTTGTCATCGAAGCATTTGATGGATATTGCCTCCCGCGGAAAAATGTTGCCATGGAGGCGTTTAAATTCAATATGATCACTCAAAAAGAGAAGCAACCATTTGCTGATTTCGAAACAGCGCTTCGTACACAACTTGCATACTGTGAATACGAATGTTCGGCGTGCCATGCATCGTATGCAGACCGTATGTTGCGGGACAGAATCATCATTGGTGTGCAAGACAAAAAGTTGCAGCTCAAGTTATTGGACGGGAAGGATGATCCATTAAGCGAGTGTTTACCGTGTTGGACTTACGAAATGGGTTCTGGCAGATGGAGCTTGACCGTAAAAGCTCTGATTTGACCACTTTTATGACCCCATTTGGCCGTTATAGATGGAATCGAGTACCATTTGGGATAAACAGTGCGCCAGAAATGTTTCAAAAACGAATGGTGCAGCTCTTCGGGGATATTCCGGGTGTAGAAATTTATTTTGATGACTTGTCTATTGCAGGGACAGATTACGATGATCATGACAGAATTCTTTCCATTGTTCTTGATCGAGCTCAGCAGAATAATATAAAGTTCAATCCTGCTAAAATCCAGTACCGAACTGATAAGGTGAAGTTTATGGGTCACATCATATCGGAGGGTCGCGTTGAACCGGATCAGTCATATATTCAAGCTATTGTTGATATACCTAAACCGCAGAGCAAATCAGACGTACTTAGATTTTTGGGATTGTTCAAGTATTTGGGAAAGTTCATCCCTAATTTATCCCAACGTACTGTGGCGTTGCGTAATTTGACTCACAATGACGTTGAGTGGAATTGGACCAAGGATCACGTCGCTGAATTGGAGAGTTTGATTAACACAGTTACTTCTACACCCGTTCTAGCTATCTTTAATCCCAAAGAACCTATTGTAATTCAGACAGATAGCTCTAAAGACGGCGTTGGTAGTGTTATAATGCAAAATGGTGCACCTGTAGCATATGCTTCTCGGACATTATCGAAATCTGAGCAGAAATGGGCTCAGATAGAGAAAGAGCTCCTGGCGATAGTATTCGCATGCGAACGTTTTCATTATTTTCTCTATGGGCGTAGTTTTGTTGTTCAGTCGGATCATAAACCCCTCGAGTCACTTGTCCAGCGCGACATTGACGACGTAACTCCTCGTCTTCAACGCATGTTCATGCATTTGCTAAAGTATCCGGGTATGAGTATAACATATACACCGGGGAAAGACATGTTAATTGCTGATTGTTTGTCACGTGCTCCACTTACTGATGAAAGTGACTTTAGTGAGGAGCTGTCTGGTATGATCCATGTGATCTCCGAACGAGCATGTCTTTCGCCCGAAAATCGTAACTTATATGTTGAAGCCCTGCAAAACGATGAGAGGTACCAACGTGTGGTGAAGTACGTTGGAAATGGTTGGCCTTCGTATCATCAGCTGGATGATCTAAGCCAATTATTCCACAAATATCGTAACTGTTTGCATTATGAACACGGCTTGTTATTCAAGGATCATCGTCTGGTCATCCCAACGGCGTTGCAAAAACTCATTTCCAAGTGGTTACATGCACCGCATTTCGGAATAGAAAAAACTCTGGCCCGTGCCAGGTCTCAGTTCTTTTGGCCAGGCATGACGACGGATATAACAGAACTTGTCAAGAACTGTGAAATTTGTGAAAAGTTTACACGAAACCTTCAGAAAGAACCATTGGTTCAGGAAAGTTCTCCGCAGTATTCTTTCCATCGTATTGGAACAGATCTTTATGAGTATGCTGGGACAGATTACCTAGCCGTTATTGATGCTTATTCCGGTTATATATTCGCAGAACCCTTGCGTGAAAAAACTGCTCGTCATGTTATTGACATCCTCGATCGAATATTTCTCCGATACGGATATTCTACACAAATACGATGTGACAACGTGCCTTTTAACTCATCTGCGTTCGAAGAATATGCTAACCGGTGTAATGTCGAATTTGTTTTCTCAAGCCCCAGATTTCCACAAAGCAATGGTTTAGCTGAAAAAGGCGTAGCTATAACCAAGAACATCCTGAAACGGTGTTGTGAGATGAATGAAGTTGAGAGTTACCAATATCGATTGTTGGAATATAATACCACTCCAGTTGCTTCAATGGGTCTTACACCAGCTCAGTTGTTTTTCGGTCGTCAATTGAAAACACGTCTTCCGGTAACTAGTGAACTGTTAATGAAACATAATTTGAGCGAAACAGATGTCAGAAACAGAATAGAACGGAAACGTTCGAATCAAAAACGCTACTTTGATCGTTCGGCAAAACAGTTACCGGTTCTAACCATGGGTGAGAGGGTCCTCTTCAAGAAAAACGGAAAGGAATGAAAGTATGGGGAAATAGCTCGGCAAGTGAACGACCGTTCGTATATCATTAGAGATCAGTTTGGAAATTATTTTCGTAGAAATAGACGGTTTATAACAAGGTCACAAAACTCTGGTTGCGATTCGAGTGAGCTGTTGTATGAGGAACACGTTCGAAGATATTTGGATCAAGCAGATAACCCTGCAAAGGCAGTTCCTCCCCAAATCGTCTCTGATCAAGAAATTCGGCCCCCATGTGAAGATCTTTCCATAAGTAACCGATCGGATCCTGAATCCTCTGATTTGTCTACATACTATGATGCTAGTAGTGATTCTGACAGTTACTCTGAGCCTTCGCCTAGTTCGCCTAGTTCTTTGAACAGTCCCCTTCCCATGACCCTTAGTCCACCGGCACGTGAAGACCCTAGAGTTCCGTATACCACTCGAAGTGGTAGAATTTCGCGACCTCCTAACAGACTCAATCTCTGATCAAATGTAAGAGACATTTTCATGAAAAATTTAATTAAAGAAAGAAAGCGTGTAAAAAGATTGAATTTGGCAGAACTGGCATCACTTGCCTCCATAGAGTAGAAACACATTGTATCAGTCGTTAGTAGCTAGTTGAGCAGATCGGACTACCGAATAAAGTGCTTGTTAACGGGACGCCTATTTTGTGTATTTACTTCTGAAAAACCGATGCCTGTTACAGCTGAAGATCTGTAAATGTGCATGAACAAATAAACAACTGATACTGTTGTTCTACATATGACAACTACTACTAACATGCATCGCACTGCATTAGTAGTACGTCTGAGGTAGTATTCGTAAATGCATCGCGAGAAATGCATCAGAGCGCGCTGATCACATTTTCTCTCGCACCTTTCAGTAGTATGTCGTAAACCGCCCGGCAAGTCAGAACCATCCTCTCGTTTATCCGTGCGGCTAATGTAAACAACAGTGAATCATCGTGCAAGCAAAACTTCCCCTCAATGGCTCCGCACTGCGAAATCCAGTTTGACAACAACCCGCTGGGTATCTACCATGCCGGCCAGACACTGTCCGGGAAGGTCAAACTGCGTCTAGATAAACCGAAAACGGTCAACGGTATGTGATGAAATTTGACAGGTGGCTTCAATAATTGGAACGTATAAAATTTTCTGCAAATAGGGTTTTATTTGGTCATATCCGGATTCGCTGAAATTGGGTGGTACGAAAACGATAATGAAAAGAGGGATACATACAAAGGAGAAGAGAAACTACTTTACGCCGAGAATACTTTGATTGCCCAAAGCAATGGTGAGTAGATGAGATTTGTGATTAACTGATGTTATTCTCGCTCTCTTTCGATCGTAGGAGGCGCAATCGAGATACCCGTCGGTACTCACGTGTACAATTTTGTATGTAAGCTTCCACAGCAGTTGCCTACTTCGTTCGAGGGGAATTACGGAAAAATTCGATACACTGTTTGTGCCATTCTTGATCGACCTTGGAAATTTAATCAGACTTGTACGGTGGCATTTACGGTGCTGAAACCGCTGGATCTCAACCTAGTTCCTTTCGCGGGGCAACCAAAGAGAATAGATGTGACGAAAACCTTCTGCTGTTGGCCTTGTACATCACGTCCTTTGCTCATAACCGTGGAAACACCAGCAACTGGATATGTTCCTGGGCAGAAAATTCCCATCATCATTACTCTAAACAACACCAGCAGCGTGGGAATTAACGGTGTAAAATGTAGCCTAGATCGAACAGAATCCTACATCAGTCAGTCACCGTATGAGAAAACCAAAACTGTTTGCAAAACCCTTGCAAGCCTGTCAACTGTAGTGACCAACGACAAGTATGCCCGATTGACGCAACAGTTGGAAATTCCTTCCATTGCACCTACTGGAAAATGTTCCGTTCTCGTCATCGAGTACGAGCTGAACATCAATGTGCAGGTGGAAAGTTGTCGCGTAAATCCGAAAATAGAAATTCCCATCTTGATTGGTACCGTTCCGCTACTGACGATGACGATGACGACGTCGACGCCACCTTTGTTGATGCAAGTCAACGCCAACTATGGATCGTTTGATGACTGTCCGCTGCCAACGGCTCCTCCTCCGCTGGCCAACTTTGATGGTCGTCGTAAGTTGACAGCTGTTGATAGTTAATCGTTACAGAGTCAAGCATGATGTCATTTTATTTTCAGTTCCTCCAAGCTACGAAGAAGCCGTGAATGGAGAAGTGGTGAATGTGAACGATGAGCCGAATGCAATCGGATTCCAACCGTACGTTCCGAGATATCCGGTGTACAAGTTTGATAGTTCGGTGAAGTGCTGACCGCATTTTATTTTTGTATGATTTACTGAGCATAACAAGATCAAATATGTCATCAGAGTAAACGGCAAGCAGATTTTTTTCCGTTAGCATAGGATGACTTTCATTAAGAAGTGAAAAATTTCATGTCGATAGCGGAGCTTCTGGGAGACAAAAACAATTATAGAATCTGAAAAAATGTTCAAACAAGTGCTTGGTATAACTTATAAATACCACAATGTACTAAATAAAGTGAAGAAATGTTTTTCATCTAAAATTACTAAAATATTGTCAGTAATGAATGGGAACAATAATGTTTATGTACTTTGCTTGTTTGGTACCCCGCTTGACAGTTCGATTGGTACTTTTGGCTTCACTCTTGGTGGGACTTTTATTATAACATTGACTATGGTCCGAACCATAAACACTACCCTAATAAAAATAACCATAAAAGAGAGTTTAACAACGTGTTCGGGGTATCATACAAACCATTTGTGGGATAGTTTAACCACACACACAGTTCGTTAATGGTACTTGTTTATTAGGGTAGGCCCACTTTCTGTCAAACGCTTAGAATTTTGTTGCATAGCAACGGTGAAACGATCTAAAGCCACGCTCGCAGCTATCTAAATCATGCTTCTCGTACTGGTGTTCAATTGCATCGATGATTTCCAAACTCACTTTCTTCAATGATTAGTTGGTGTCCTTCCTTACATGGGGATATGATTTCCTATTTCTCATGATTGTTGAATTTTCTAGCTGAATTATTTTCACTCGATGGAAAAACAGACACGTAACAACTAAAACACATTGCTTGCTATGATTAGAAACATGCTTACTTTTTTACATTTTGATAATTGACCAGCGTTTGGACAGTGTCGGATTCAAAAATAAACCTCGATTATATGACCATGATATGTGCCGAAAGCTATGCCGAACGTGCTGAAGTAGGCCATTAGTTTGGCAACCCTCAATTTGTAATGACTTTTGTGATTTATTTATGTTTATATTGGCTTTCTGGTTGGAGGTTTTAAAAAAAATTCATGTAAGTATTATTCCTCTACAAGGCAGAACTCAATTGGAGCAATACTTTTTGTCTCCATACAACTGGACGAAAGGGTCATCCCATGACAATTTCACATGGCCATCCTAACTAGAATCCAAAAGGCAACCGAGACTTCCTAACTTTGCTTCCATATTCGCGATGACATACTTTCCTGCATTCTCTCAAATGTTGACGATCATCTTCCAGTCGAATGCATTGCGTCCACCCGGAAGCTCGTCGGCTGTAAATTATTACTCTAGGAGTGTTTAGACACATACGTCGAAGAAGATCACAAATCAGCAGAGAAGCTCGGAACGGGAGCTGTCCAGTTCATAAAAGATTCCAAGCGTGGAATCAACCAGTGGACTTGTTCCGCGCTAAGACATGTGTGTTCGGCATTCGAGCAACAAAGGGAGAAACGCAATCAGGATGATTCATCGATATCTTGTGTTCGCGGGTTTTGATTGTTGTTTTGAATGTGAATATGAAACCTAGAGAAACAATTTGCCGGATGGTGTCACCAGCACTGAATAAGACTTTTTAGAAACAACAAACAGCAGCGTCTACATTTGAACTGTATAAAAATTGCCTCTATGATACCACGCGACGGATCATGAGCAGTAGTAAATTAAATATAAATTTGTTTCCGATTATTTTGATCAGCAGATGTGTTAGGTTTCAAGATTAATTCATATCTATAACCCTTTATCTGACCAGTGTCTAAAGACCTGGATCCAATATTCAATTACTTGGGCATCAAAGCATCAGCTTCGTCGTCCTTTTCGATAATCTCTGGAGAAACCAATGAAAGAAACCAACAACCCCTAGAACGGCGACCATAAACTCTCCATACTGAATCGTGAGTCCCCCTTTTTCCCATATCATTGCATGTAAAGTAATAACCCAATGCAATGATAGTTGTCTACCACTCATTGTAGCACGGAAACTAAGTCCGATAGCAGTCCAAATCGCTTCAATTTTGTGCCCTGGTGGTCCCTCCCCTTCCCATCATTTATTGGTGCATTAATATGATATCATATATACAGTGACTTACCTTTGATGATAAAGTAACTTACCTAACTGATAACCATCTTCCTTCTTGTCTTTTGTTGGCTTTCTTATAGGTAGTTGGCCTAAGGTTTCCTATCCCCTGATGAGACTGCCATCTTAGGTGTAGCTTCTGGGGAAAATCATTTCTTATTCAGCCGCTGGATGCCAGTCAGACGCTTTTTGAGCCACACCTCCGTGGTTGACAGAAGCTCGGAGGCGAAACATTTCCTCTACCGTCGTGCTATGGTTGCCGCGCCAGTGTTCGGTTTGCACCTCCTCACTTAGTATTTTTTTTACATCATTTATTTGTAAAGGCTCAATTGCGTTAGCTTTGCGGAGCCGTAATTCAATGTATAATAGCATTATTTCTTATGACTAAAGTTAGTAGAACTGGGACCGAATACTCGCGGCTTACTCGAGGTTAAGGACAACAATTTTTTAACAGGTTGGATGTAGACTTGGGATAAGGTACATGGCGATGAATTATCGTTTTAACCTCCGTCGCCGTTGCATTGGTGAATGAACGTGGAAGAAGTACTGCAGTGCGGACAAGTGCTCTGAATCTCGAAAGCTGAATGGACAACTGATGAGACAGCTGAAACGAAACACAAAGAGAGGATATGTTGGGAGAACGATGAGAGGACTGACACATCAATAAAAAAAAATAAAAAATGCTAAAGACTCTTAAATTCTCAAATCGGCCCGTTTTAGAAAATTGTAAATCAACTTCATATATTCAAGATCGCGACTAGCCAGAACGTCTCTAATGGGTGTAGCAGGTTGCTTTCCTCGGGCCTTAAGGGATTCACGCAACTCAGATCTGACAATACAGTATAAAGTACAAAACCAAACAACATGCTCGATGTCGTGGTAAATCACTTTGCTACTGTCGGATTGACAACATTGCCCAGGTTACGCCACCCAGCTGTGTCCATTTTCTGTTATGATGGTTCTGTTTTTATGAAAATAAAATTATGTTCTATCCATTTATCATGGCTATATGTTGATCCAGCGTGCAGGTAGTTAATATCGTTGTCTTCTTCAAAACTACGTCGTCTTTATCTAGAAAAGAAAATCGCCACTCGATCAAGCCAATTTCAAAGGTAGTACCTGTGTGATGTCGCATTCCAAAAGTTTTAAATCAAATAAATAAAACAAAAAAAAACTTTGTTTGGCATCACTAGTGTGCATCTTTCAAAATGTAAAGATACAGACAAGCCCTGGAACCTGGTTGCAGTCAAGCAATCCTCAAGGTTATGCCAATGCCCAGGGTAATACAAAAATAAACCTTTGTTTGGGTTTTCTGACTTTACCAGCAACCGAACACATTATCCACGCACACTCACGTAATTCTCCAATACACGACGTGTAAATATTTACATGATTGACAAATCTCAGCTAATCATGACATTTTGATCTTTGAAAACAACGCACATGAGAAAAAGAGACACGAAACAAAAACGTGAGGGGAAAAGCAGAACCTACTGCGTTCTCGACTGACGACTAGCGTTTGATATTGATATATATATTAGCAAAATTTCGTCTAAATTCTTGGACTGAAGTTCCAGCGGAATGAAATGCCGAGTTTTTTAATGTTTGATGATATAAACTTTATTTACACGAGATCTACACACATCGAGTTTACTTTTGCGAATGATACAAAATGGCGCACACAGCAGAAGGCTGATGCTGCGCTCTCGCTCTGCTACCGTCTCTTTAGCTATCTGTGTCACTACAGGATAGCTCTTTGCATCAAGGTGTGTAGTGCAAGGTGGCATGACCGTTGTTACCAACACTCCTCCTCAACGAACACTGCCATCCTATGATGACAATCCCAGCATCCGTGCAAACTTCATCTGTTTGACTGAATCCACCGGTTTAGTGAGTACATCAGCCACCATGTCTTCAGTTGGACAGTACTGCAACTCGATGCATCCGTCATCACACAGTTGTTTCACGAAATGTCCCCGCACCTCAATGTGCTTGGACCGACGACTCTTGCGTTCTGACGTTACGAACTGGATACAGCTTTGGTTATCCTCCATCACTTTGACAGGATCGCTCAGCTGTTCACCCATGTCCTTCAGCAAGCTCCGAAGCCAGATCAGTTCTTGACTAGCATCACTCAGCGCCACATATTCGGATTCCATCGAAGACAGTGTGACGCAACTTTGCCTTCGACTAGCCCACGATACTGCTCCACCGGCATAGTGGAAGACGAATCCTGTTGTTGATTTTCTTGTACCAACGTCACCAGCCCAATCGGCATCCGAATATCCGATTAGCTTTCCAGTCGCGTCGCTGTACTTCAATCTCCACTCTTTCGTTGCCTTCAAATAGCGGACAACACGTTTTGCCGCTATCCAATCCGCCTCCGTAGGCGCACTCACTTTACGACCCAATATCGCTACGCTAGCTGCTACATCCGGCCTAGCACACACGGAAATGTAGAGAAGCGCTCCAACAATACTCCGATAGTCCATCCCGTCCGACAGTTGCGGACTCTTATCTTCCGTGCTCTGGAAACCCTCTTCCATTGGCGTCTTCGCCCGCTTTGCATCACGGAGCCCAAACTTCTCCGCAACACGATCGATGTACCCTTCCACTGAAACACTGTACTTTCCATGTTCCTTCCGAATCTCTAGTCCCAAGAAGTATTTGAGCTCTCCAAGATTGGTGATTTCGAAATACTGCTTCAGCGTTTTAAACACCGCTACGATCTTCGCTTCATCTTCGCAACCAACCAAAATATCGTCCACATACACAATCAGGTATACACGTTTTCCATGAATCAGCATTGTGTACAGGCACGGATCAGCAACACTTTGCTGGAACCACATTTCCACAAGGACACCGTGCAATCGTTGATTCCAGCATCGTGCGGATTGTTTGAGTCCATAAATGCTCTTTCTCAGACGACACACCATGTTTTCCTTACCTTTTGCTATGTATCCAGGTGGCTGCTTCATGAAAATCTCCTCGTTCAAATCGCCGTACAAGTAGGCCGTTTTCACATCCAAATGCTTCAACGTCATTCCCTTCTTGCTAGCAACGGCTAACAGCACCCGCAGTGTGGTGTGGCTGGATACCGGTGCGAAAATCTCGTCGTAATCAACTCCGTACTTTTGGGAATATCCCTGAGCTACCAGACGAGCCTTGTGTTTGATGATGTCACCAGCTGCGTTCCTCTTCAGCTTGTACACCCAGCGACAGACGAGATTTCAGCTCGTCAACCATTGCCGCTTTCCAACTTTCTTTATGTTCACAGGTCACCGCTTCCTTCAAGAATCTTGGTTCGACCACCTCCGTATCCACAGACTCCGCAGCAAAAATCTCCTCAATCAGTCTCTGAGGCGCGATACCCTTCGTTGACCTTCTCGAACGCCGTGCTATTTCATCTAAAGGAAAGCCATGAAACGATTGGTTTCCTTCCGAAGCACTATCGTAGAACGATCCATTCAGATCCCGACCGTCTTCTACCGATTCCATGAATTCTTCTACCGACTCCGAATTTTCTTCCGATGACGTTGAGGTCCCATCCGTCTCATCCCGAGACTCATCTCCTGATGGCAACACTAGCGGTACTTCAAGTACTCCTCCTGCTTCTAGACCCTGGATCCGAACAGCCTCTTTCGTATCGCATAGCTCCAAGAACTTTGCATCCCTGCTAATCATAATCATATCCGTTTCAGGGTTCAAGAAACGATACGCCTTACGACCGTCAGCATACCCTACGAACACCAGCTTCTCAGACTTGAAATCCAGCTTGCGCCGCTTTTTCTTGGGGATATGCACGTACGCTTTCGATCCGAAGATCCTTAGATGACCATACGAAGGTTTCTTCTTGTTCCAGAGCTCAAACGGTGTCTTACAGACTGTAGATGACGGCAAACGATTCTGCAAATAGTTTGCAGTGCAAATCGCTTCGCCCCAGTACCTCTTGTTCAACCGTGACTCGGAAAGCATACACCGCAGCATCTCAACGAGATAGCGGTTCTTCCGCTCGGCGACACCATTTTGCTGTGGTGAATACGGTGCCGTCTGCTCATGAATTATTCCACGCTCCGTGAAAAACTTCCGCAACGAACCACCCGTGTACTCGCCACCACCGTCAGAACGAATCTTTTTGGGATAATGCCCGAACTGGTTTTTCACCAGACTGCAGAAATCCCGGATTTTCTCTTCTGCGTCCGACTTCCGACGCAACAGATGCACTACCGTGTAACGACTGTAATCGTCTACCAAAACGATGTAGAATCGATTACCACTTGGCGTTTCTTCTTCCATTGGACCGCCCAAGTCAGTGTGCACTAGATCTCCTACCGCGCTAGATTTGCTGTCCGACACTTTTGGGAACGACTCTCGAACTATCTTCCCCTCACAACACGGACCACACACCGACTGAACTTCACAAGGATCCACTTTTAACCCGTATCCCAGGTTATCACGTATTATTTTGTCTACAGCTTGCACATCGCGATGTCCGAAACGACGATGCCACAAATGACGACACAGGTCTGCATGTTTCGGATCAACCAGAAATGCCTTCTCCGGAGCTTGCTTCAAGTGGTACAGCCCTCCTTTACGCTGCCCAACTAGCACTGTATCTTCTCCTTTCAGGATATGGCACTCCGTTTTCCCAAACAGCACCCGAAAACCCAAATCTGTGATTTTACTCACCGACAGCAGGCTACCAGCGAGCGATGGAACATGCAGGACGTTTTCGAGCCGAACGTTCATCCTGATGCCATCTTCGTTGAAGGAGACTAGCTTACCGATACCACTTCCAGCTGACTTGATGGATTTTCCATCCGCCAGGCAGACCGCCGTTGCCTTAGATTTATCGACACCATCCAGCAACGACGCGTCACTCGTCATATGTGCTGTGGCACCTGAATCCAGGTACCAGAAACCATTTCTATCGGCTTCACCTGCTGCCAAGCACGTTTCAAAAAAGAACCGGATTTGATGGCCATACTCACCTTCTGACCATCCGTCTTTTCTTTTTCCCGCTTGTCCTGCGCTAATTTCCGGCAATCACGCCGAAAATGTCCTTCCTTCTTGCAGTAATGACACAACACTTCTTTCTTCACGTAGTGCTTACTTGCAAACTTCGGTTTAGCTGTGTTCATGACCAGTGCCTTTTCACAAGTACTATCACTCTCACTTTCAGCACGACGTCGACCTTCGTCCAGCAGTTTACCTTTCACAAAGTCCACTGTGAGGTCTGCATCTGGTCGACTTTCAAGTGCCACAATCAAACCGTCGTACGATCTGGGAAGACTGGACAACATCAACGCAACGAACCAGTTGTCCTTGACTTCTTCCCCCAGTGCCACCAACCGAAGCCGGAGAGCCGCCATCTCCTTCAAATGTTCCGCCATATCACCGGTTTCCGTCATTCGGATGGTAATTAACTTACGCACTACGTGGATTATGCTGGACAGAGATGCGCGCTCGTGGTAATCCTTCAACGCATCCCACATCTCCTTCGCCGTTTGCTTCTGCATAACGTGGATCAGCTGCGTGTCTTCCAATGCCAAGCCGATAACCGCTTGCGCCTTCTCATCGTTAGAGCTCCAGGTCGCATCAGCAGCCGCTGGCTTCGGATCGGTCACCACTCTCAGCAGCTTCTCCTTCGTTAGCAGCAAACGCATCTTGAATTTCCATACCGCGTAATTACCGTCGTTCAACTTCTCGATCGTCACTTTCATGTCCGCCATCTTGTTTTCCACAAGCAAAACTCGGTCACTTGCAAAGTTACGATCCGATTCGAACGACTCACAACACCGGTGAAAAAATCCACTACCGTTCCGCGAACAACAAAAAACTCAAGCACTTCCAACGATAACTGGGCCCATAACCTCTTGGACTGAAGTTCCAGCGGAATGAAATGCCGAGTTTTTTAATGTTTGATGATATAAACTTTATTTACACGAGATCTACACACATCGAGTTTACTTTTGCGAATGATACAAAATGGCGCACACAGCAGAAGGCTGAAGCTGCGCTCTCGCTCTGCTACCGTCTCTTTCGCTATTACTGTCACTACAGGATAGCTCTTTGCATCAAGGTGTGTAGTGAAAGGTGGCATGACCGTTGTTACACCAACATAAATAACTATTAGACAGGAATGACGAAGTGCAGTCAGTGAGGTATGGAACATTTGAGAACGGCTATTTTTCGAGCTACAGACTGGTGTGAAAATAATTTTATTTTTACTACCTTTTCCTATATTCAGATCTATTTATTCAGTACGTTGAATACAAAACTAATTTTAAAATGCTTAAAACATAATGTGTGCGGTGATAAAATTAAATGCACTTTACGTCAAATATTATTATTATTCTTCTTCTTCGCATTCCAAACCTATTAGAGTTCTAGATGCACCTCTACAGTTATTATTTGAGAGCTTTCGATGCCTGTATCATTTTTGCATTAGTATAATAATTCTACAATCATACTATGTGCCCAGGGAAGTCGAGAAATATTCCAAAAAAAAAAACCTAGGTCGGACCGGGAATCGATCCCAGCCACCTCCAGCATGGTCTTGTTCTGTAGCTGCGCCTTTACCGACTTAGCAAAGGCAGGCCCCCGTCAAACGGCGATTGTAAAAAAAAATTGCCCGTTGAGTATTGGTTGGATCACATTCTACATTCTCACCGGAGAACCAAAGTTGTACACCGGATATCTCGGAATGTACGCTTGGAATCCGATCGCGTTCGGTTCGCCGTCATTCATATTGACTGCCGACTGATTCATGACCTCCTGGTAACTGGGAGGCACTGAAAAGGAAAATAACAGTGATTAGATAAATTAGAAGTGGAAGTTCAAGCCTAAACTTACAAAATCCAATCGCCGGTGGTGCTGGAGATGTAGGATAAGGCGGTTTTGGTGACATTTGCGCATTGGGAAGTAACGGCATGGACGACGGGGGAACACTATTGGCTACAGAAGGTATTGGCATTCCACCGATCCACCCCAAACCGGAAACATTCATTACGTCCTCTGTTGGTGCTAATGGTGGTACTGTTGCTGATGTTGGCGTTGTCGTCGTAAAAGGAACAGTTCCAATGGTAATGGGAATGGTATATTCCTGATTCGATCGGCAACCGCCCAGTTGTATTTGCACTTTGAGTTCGTAATCTATGGTTAGGATCGAACATTTTCCGGTCGGAGCGGTGGCAGGAATCATCAGATCCTGCGTGTATTGATCGGATTCGTCGTTTGTAACCGGTGTCAAAATTTTGGTCACCGTTTTCGTCACAGATCTGGTTTTTCGGCTCGGTGTTTGACTTATGAAGTAAACTTTTCGCACGAGCTTACTTCTAATCCCACGAATAGGCACGTTACTTGCATTGTTCAGGCTTACAGTAATGGGAATTTTTTGACCTGGAACGTATCCACTTACGGGTAGTTCAATTGAGAAGCTCATTGGACCGGAAATACATGGCCAGCAACAGAATCTTCTGGATCGGTCTATTTTCTTGGGTTGGCCAAGTTTAGTTACCTCTTGGTTCAGATCTAATGGCTGTAATACTGTGAAGGCAATCGTGCAGGTTTGATCGAACTTCCACGGCCGGACGAGAACGGCACGTATGGTGTATCGAACCTTTCCGAGTTCCCCCTCGAACGATGTGGCCGCCTGTGGAGGTATCTGGCACGAGAATGTGTACTCATGTGTCCCGGCCGGTATTTCGATGGCGTCATCTGTAAAGAGAATTGATTGACAAAGAAGAAAAAATGACTCATTCCAATTTGCCTCTAGAGCAATCAAACTGACCATCGACTCGAGGAATCAAAGCAAACTCTGAAGTTATAAACTCCTCTTTTCCCGAGTACGTTTCTCTCTTTATTCTCCCCGAGCGGTTTACTACTGCTGCTCCATTGCGTTTGATTTTGTTCTTTGTCCATTTGACTTCCGCGCATCCGGAGATGATTAATTTTAAGTCTGAAACGACGGGAGTGGTAAACTTCTGCAGACGACCTTGAATGTTGGAATTTCTTGCCCCTTAAACTTACTTTTAACTTTCTTTGGATTGTCCAGGCGCAGCTCCACATGTCCGGTCAACGTTTGACCTGAGAAGTACACTCCATTTGGGTTGCTATCGAACTTGATTTCACATTCAGTCGGCATTTTGAATCAACAAGGCCGACGATGGCGGAGAACCGCGAAACAACATTCCACTCCGACGACACCCTAAAGAACACTAACCACAGGCATGCCGCATCTCATCTCTCACCGTTCGGTTTTGGTTGCGTGTTTACAAACACCGAGAGAAATGAGACCAGCTAGGTGGCACCCCGCAAACACACACGTGCTGCATAGTGAACGATTTAACCACTACTTAAATTTTCTACGTGATAGGGGCTGTTTATAAACTACGTAGACAGTTTAGGGGGGGGGGGAGGGTTCTGGCTTGGCAATTATCCACGGCCCATACAAATTAAAAAAAATGCATGGACAATTGTCTATGCAGGGGGAGGGGGGGGGGTCAATAATCACAAAAACCTGTCTACGTAGTTAATGAACAACCCCATAGTGGCTGTATAGTTGCACTATTTACTAATAATATAAAGAGAGTATGCCATCTATTGCGGTGGACCTGTGAGACATCTCTTTACGAGAATTACGTGCTTAGTGTATGTATGTATATTCGCTAGGTTGGTGATGGTGTTTTCTGCCTCTTTCTCAATCTGGCGTCAAGATCTTATGGATGCACTCAGGGTCATACCCGGCATAAACAAAGGCCACAAGCACAAATAATATGCTTTGGCTTATTGCCACTGTCCATGCATTCGTTCCTATCCCGGCCTAAACTGCCCTTGAACCCTCGCTTGAACCCATATTTTGGCTTATTGAAACGAAGGTATCAATATTGCAATATTTTTAATATCGGCATCCTTTCTCAGCAGACCACTGTTAAAATCTCTCAGAGAGCTGAAGATTCTAATGGACTTCATTCAACAATTTAACCACCTGTTAACGTCCACGTGCGAATCATAAAGGAATGGGTGAAATTGATCGAAGTAGGCACTGACGACAACTGGAGTCTAGATTTGGATACAGTTTTTAGTCCAGTCACTAATTGGTTGAATATCAAGTTAAATATTTTATAAACTCTATTTTTTCGAGAAGAGGTTCACAATTCATCTTATGGTAAACTTATCTTAGAGAGCTTCCATTAAGTCCGTCACGCTCTAACGGGGAGAAGGCGTCTTACAAATGTGTGACAAGTAATGCATTCGGTATAGGAAAAACGTGATGGAAGTGAAGAGGGCAGAGAGGGGAAATTTTTAAAAGTGTGATAAAAATGCGAGTTTCCGTCTAATCGTTTTGGTGTCTTCGGTGCTCTTATTCTTTATTTCTTATGGGACGGGGGCTAATCTGCCGTGTGGGGCATCCTTGTCCCATTCGCTAAAACGTTGAATCGCAAAAAATGCATTTGAAATTTTTTACGGTTTTCGCTAAATTGGTAAATTTTTCGTTGGAAAAAAAATTAAGTACTAGCATATACTAAATCTGAAGTACTTTAATAAACAACTCTTAAGGGCTGAACACAATGAAAGCGGCATAGCGGCAAGCGCAAATTTTCCAATATACTGAAATCCATTTGACTACCCACAATAAGCGCGTTGCGGCGAAAGCGGAATTGTACCAAAACGCATTTTTTTTTCAACATTTTGGAAAAACGCGGTGCGGTTGAACGGCAACCTGAGAAGAGCTCAATATTTTCAGCTGTATTTTTTTTTGTAATTTTGAATTAACCAGAACCGGCGTAAACCAAATTATCATACAAGGTAGTAAGTAGTTAGAACAATGCATCCGGACATGTTCCGGGTACCCTTGGGGAAGTGGTTAGATTCTTCTTTAACCAACACCTACATGCGACACAACAAATTACATGAGAATTAACCACTTCATTCGAGCAGTTAAAATGACGTTTACTACCACTCGAACTTTGAAATAAAACATTATTTTGAGATTTTTTCTTCTAGAACCACGAGAAAAGTAGCCAACATTTGTGCGTTTCATAAAAAAATAGAAATTAGTTGGTCCAGTTTTGTGAAATTGCTGGTAGAAAGTCACGCCAAAACTGCTTGACAAAGTGGTCAATTAAAAAATATGATCATTGGTGGTCATATTAAGTACTCAGGACGAGAGCTTCGGAGAAGAGTTATGAATATCAGGAAAACTGCGGGAGCTTAAGGAATGTTCCGGGAATTTTAGGGAAGTCCAGAGAACTATAATTTATTGAGAAGTTCAAAGAACTTCTGGGGATTCAAGATATCTTTAGGGAAGTCCTGACTATCGGGAAAGCTTAAAGATCTTCAAGAGAATATTCAGACAACTTCGTACATTTCAAAAACAATGTTGAAAACTTCATCGAAGATCTAGAGTAGTTTTTAGGAGAGCTTCGGAGTAGTTCTAACGAGAACTTAGCTCTGTGGAGAACTTCAAAGTAGTTCTGAGGAGAAGGTCAATGAAATTCTGGGGAGAGCTTCAGAGTAGTTCTGAGGAGAAGTTAAAGGTAATTCTGAGGAGAACTTCAAAATAATTTTGGGGAGAACTGCAAAGTAGTTCTGAGGAGTACTTCAGAGTTATTCTGATGAGAATTTCAGAGTAGTTCTGAGGAGACTTCAGAGTAGTTCTGAGGAGAACTTCAGAGTTAGTCTGCGGAGAACTTCAGAGTAGTTCTGAGAAGAACTTCAGAGTAGTTCTGAGGAGAACTTCAGAGTGAAGAGTGAAGAGAAGACGGTGAACCGAGAGCTTCGAAAAGAGCAAAATATATTCGAGATTCGGCCAAAAGGGATGCAATCATACAACCCGACGATATCCCACTATCGGCGCGAGCATGCAAATCGAAGACGCCTCTGCAAATGAACACAGCAAAAAATTAATTTTGATATCACGTCAAAGTGGATGCATGTCAATCGTATCAAAAACATGGTGTAATATTACTTGCCAAAAAGGATAAAATTATCATTAATACAGTGCATGAACTGACATTACGCTGCTTTTACTACATTTGTTTATTTTTGTGGGAAGAGATGAACCAGCTTCTAGCTGAAATTCTCGCTAATAAAGATAACCTAACCTATTTTGTGGCCATGAAAATTACATGAGATTTTCGACATGATTGAAGTGCATCCTCTTGGATGTAATATTAAAATTTATTTTTTGCTGTGAAGATTGCTCTATATGCCTTAAGTATTTGGAACACACTTGCTTCCACCGAATAATCACAAGACTGGGATCCAGGTTACCATCTGGTTGGACAACTGCTCCAGCCAGAACAGAAACTGGAACCTTTTCATTCACCTGATTCTTTTGATGAATTTAAATTCGATTCAGTTGAAGGAGTTGGTTCTCAAATTCTTCGAGTCCGGACAGTTTTCACGCGACGGTGGAAAAAGGAATGCGGAATCATATTGGTGATCCAATAATAACCTTTTCAGACTTCAAGGCTGTTGTGAGCACAACGTAGAAGAATGTGGAAGTTATCGACATGTCGTACCAAAAATTCTTCCACACAACATACGCTGAATAAACTTAAGCCAAGTCCGTATATCGAGAATATAGGAAGAGTTCTTCGCAAGCACAGCTATCAATTTGGATATAGCAATTCAGTCGAGGAAGGAGCTGATGTAACATCGTCACAGATGATGGTTTCGAGTTGAACTTTGATTTTTCGTTTTTTGACGTAGGACTACGTCTGTGATTTCTATATGGAGGTACACTTTGTGAAAACCGAAAATGGAACATGTAACAAAATTATGAAAGATTTTGAACGTTAATAGCTCAGCTGCGCCTGGACCAATTTCAATAATTTTAACACCAATCGAACAGAAATATTTTTACGCATCTGTTAAATTACGGACTTAATCATTTTTTTTTTTTTCAAAATGTAACTATTGAAAATTGCACGAATGTGCGACTGTTGCTATGATTACTAAAATTATCACCGATTGCCTGCGAAAAGCGATGCTTCAATGCTCTACAAAGTTGTAAGTGCCTTCAAAATGCACCCCAGGAACACCCCCGGTAATCTAACCGTTTTTAAATCTGAACAGTTTTTAGTTTGAACCCGCTTATCTGCACGCCAGTAATTAAAACGCAAATTTTAAAAGTAAAATTAAAACTTGCTCAAACGTCATTTGGAATGGATGGAAAGGAGAAAAGTGAACTAGAAGCTCAAATTAAAAATAAACCCCGCAAATATGAGGGTCGTTAATATTAACCGGGGTCCACGGTATTGCATTGTAGCAATAAGTTGTATTTCTTTATTAGGGACGAAATCACACCAAAAGCGAAACACGATTCTTGAAAGAAAGTGAATACCTCATTAACCCGTATACATACAGTGTCTATAGATCTACCTCCTGGCAAAGAACGCAAATTATACAAGCACCCAGCGTCAGAACCATTTCAAACATGTGTAGTAAATAGTGGGTAGATGGAAGTTTGTGTTCGGTGGTTATATTCACACTATACGTTAATCTATCTGTCTGAGTATGAGACCGGGAATCATCTTGTCTCTCAGTTTCAGTACCGTGAGAGCCGTCGCGTTGGTGAGTTAGCGTGTTGCTCTAAGAATTTACTTATCTGCTGCGCCCCTTTTTCATCTTATGATATTAATAGCCGTTCCTACATTGTAGGTGATTAGGTTTACGGAAAAGGCGGTAGAATGGTGCAGCGCTGCGAAATCCGCTTCGACGACAATCCTCAAGGAATCTACCAAGGCGGGCAAACGCTGTCCGGCTCCGTAGAGCTGCACTTGGATAAACCGAAGCTGGTGAATGGTGGGATAAACAGCGTTCCATGGGAATTCCGATATGTTTGACTCGTGTTATAATCTTCAAGATTTCAGATTAGTAATTTCGGGATGCGCCGAAGTAAAGTGGACTGAAAGAAAAGGCAGGAATAGTAAGGTGACCTACAGCGGGAAGGAGGAACTACTGCGTGCAGAGACCAGCCTAATTCCGCAAAGCTATGGTTTTTTTTAACAAACATTTTTACCACTTACTGGGATTAAGACCCACCTCAATCGATTCTAGGCAACACTGAGATACCGGCCGGGATACACGTGTACAACTTCTCCAGTCCAATCCCAACGGAAGTTCCTACTTCGTTCGAAGGAGATTACGGGAAAATTCGATACACTGTTCGAGCCATCCTTGATCGTCCATGGAAATTCGACCAAACGAGTACCGCTGCCTTTACAGTGTTGAAACCATTGGACCTCAACCAACACATTCTCACGTTGAAAGAGTGCAGAAAGGAAAAACGAACCAAAACCTTCTGCTGTTGGCTTTGCTTGTCTAGCCCACTGTACGTCGGTGTTGAACTACCGGTGACCGGATATGTTCCAGGTCAGAAAATACCCATCACAGTTGCACTCAACAACACAAGCAGTGTTGAAGTTATCGGTATCAAAAGTAAGTTAGAACGGAAGGTGTCTTACATCAGCGAATTTCCACGAGAAAAAACTCGTGTTGTCGATGAAAGGCTGGCCAGCGTGTGGACAACTGTGAGAAACGATAAATCAGCTCAATATACACAGGAGCTCAAAGTTCCTTCCGTCGCCCCTACTGGGAAATGTTCCGTTCTTGTCATAGACTACGTGCTCGTGGTAAAAGTCCATGTGGACGGATGTCACAGCAACCCTGAAATTGAAATTCCCATCACCATCGGAACCATCCCGTTTACGTTACCACCGACGACGGCTGAACCAAATGTCGATCAAATTGGATGGACCCTTGCGTTACCATTACCAACGGCGCCGGAATCGCCCGGTACGGATAACATCTGTAAGTTGTTATTGTTGATTGCCACTGAAACTTCGGTGCACTTATGTCTTGCTTCATAAGGAATAAGTGTACTAAAGATACCCAGACGAACAAACGTAAACTCGCACTTTGACCACTCATTTTGATAAACGAATAAGCGCAAACCTACTTGTTGTATACAATCGTTTTCTTTTTTCAGTACCACCCAGCTACGGTGGAACGGCTGTGAATGTCAACGATAACGAGCCAACCGCCATCGGTTTTCAGGCGTTATTTCCAAGGAACCCGGTGTTGTACAAGTTCGACAGTTGTGCCAAGTGGAACTGAATTATTTGCATACCTTCCAACGATCTAATAATATACAGTGAAGACCGGTGCTACAAACACAAAACGAGTATGAGAGAACTAACTATGAAGTTCCAAAATTCAGTTCTGTCACTCCTGTTGAGGCACGTTGGTCCTAAAGAGACTCAATTCGGTAAAGAGGCGACATCTTATCCGGTTGACAGGTCTTCTGCTCGATTGGAATAACTTTTCCTATGACTTTGACAGATAATCGATTGTTCCAATTTTGACATGTATCTTTATAAATTCAGCCCCTTTAGTTGGTCCCTACCCAGGTGTGGAAGCCACTTCCCTGGCATTCAACTGTCGTCAAGATAACACTGCACGCAATTGGCAAATCAAAGCTGGCACTCGTGGAGAATAGACAAACTATTAGCGAATTTGTTTATTATCGGGGTTGGAGCCGAACTTTTTGTCAGTGCGAACCTCAACCTGAGTTAGGTTTTTAAAAACAAACGATCAAACTGACGTTTTTCAGAAAACAAGCAGACCCAATCTTGATACACGATCCAGGTTGGAACTGAATAATAAACAAATTCGCTATATGAAAGTGATGATGGTTTCAAAATTTTTCACGGAGAGGTATACGAGTGCTATCTTAAAATGCTTTTATTTTGCAAATGAAGCATTTTATTTAAATCTGGTTGTTGGCTACAGTGGTAGAAAAACTGAAATCTATGTATACACCTACAAATCTGAAAAGAAATTATTTTTTCTATATTATATATATATATATATTGAGTAGTCCTTAAGAGTTTTCTACTAACGTAGCATTAACCAGATTTAAATAAAATGCTTATTTTGCAAAATAAAAGCATTTTAAGTTTGAACTCGTATACCTCACCGTGTCAACTGTCAAAATTGACGGGCGAGGAAAAGGGACGGAGAGATTTCGGTTAGGGTTCGCACAGTGCTCAATTAATGGTAATCGATGTACGTTGATGATTGACATTGGACTGCGGAACAGAGACCAACTTTAATTAAACGAATTAAGAAAAAGATGTCGAGGATGCAGGTTGTACCTCTGTGTCAGTCACGCTGTCGACAGTTTATTTTCTCGAGTAGCTATCGTGCGCATTGTTCTTGACTGCAGCTCGGTGATAATTTATTGTTTGCGTCGCCGTTGGAAGCACACTACTGCTGGTAATGAGTAGTACAGAAACAAAGCATATAGCATCTATTTCCAAAGTATGGACTTTGAAAATTGATGTGGCGTGACCCACCTGGGCCGAGATTGCTAATTTAATCAAGACACTTGATGCGAACGGTGCTGAAATGAAAGCATCATATCGGATATCGGAGGAGAAATCGGATTTTATTAAGTTTAAGTCGGAGGATTCTATGCTATCCCGCATAAACAATAACCATAAGAAGCGCCTAACCACCAATTCGGAATATCATCCCAACTTTATGTAGTATGCTCGCACCATCTATGATATCGTTAGTGTATGGTACCCGTTTATTAGGGATATGCTTTCCGGAACAACAGTGATGAATGAATTTTCGTCAGGTTGAAGGTTCGTATTTCGCCTGCGGGAGGTAAAATGCAATACGTGCGGATATGCCATGATATAGCGATGGTGCTGGGGAAGTACGGTAAAGTTGAGCGTGTTATCTGGGAGAAAATTCCTGCGGCGCTGGGTCTCGACATGCACACCAGTGTACGATGGCATCGGATGAATTCCTACCCCCAGTGGAAGTCTCGCAAACAGCCAGCAAAGCGACAAACCGATGACAAACTAGACGAAGAACTTAGCGGTAGCACATACGCAGGGGTGTTAATGGGAGATGTACCGTTCGATAGCAACAACAATGAAAAAGACGAAGTGGTTGAGGTGCTTGAAGAAGAGGTGATGGAAATAGAAGATGTGACAGAAACCAGTACCGAAACAAAGAGAACTACAAACAAGTTTTGGAAGCAAAACCAAAATGAGGAGGAAGCCAAGCGTTTGGCTTCGGAAAAACAGAAGAGAAAGGAGTTGCGGGCACAGGAGAAAGCAGAAATAAATGGTAACTCGCCTCTTAGGAAGAACAAGCAGAACTTACCACAAGTCCCCTCCGACACGGCTTCGGATTAGTGTATGCCGTAAATAAATTGTAAGATAATTATAATTTTCCTCGGCTCCGTAGAGTCGCTTAAGACATTTGAGTCTACCAAATAAACGATTCCAAAATTTTAATAAAAGGTGATGTTCTACGATTTTAGTTCATTTTCAAGTGTCGATTTTGAAAATTAAAGAAAAGTTATCATTTTTGCTGTTTGATAAATATATGTTTGAAAATATTACAAATACGTTTTTTTGTTATTGATTTCTTTATCAGTTGTTTTCTTACTTAAATTTGGAATTTTAATTTGTTTTATTTTTAAATACCATCTATTATTATTTTTTTTTTCAATACACTATTTGAAGTTCGAATGAATGCCTTAGAGCTTATAGTCCCCGATTAGGCAAAGAATAATCAATTTTTGAATTTTTGGCAAGCAAAGTGTTTTGTTCCATTCCCCATACATTTCCCATGCAAATTTTATGATTCTCCCGCAGTTCCAGATCGTAACCAAATTGAAATTCGCTCACATTTGGCACAGTTTTGGATGATCTGAGAGGACCATGGGGTTGTGATCCGCCATATAAACTTGACCCATACTAATTTACATAATAGAATAATATGATCATTTCAATAAAATATATTGTTCGTTTCAAATCCTAATATCCCAAATATATCTCAATATACCCAGGAATATAGCTCTGAGATATTTTGAGGAATGATAGTTTATTTGATGTTGATCTATTTGATTTTTTAGTAGCTGATAAACTTTGCGTTTGCTTGCACTTTTTTGAAAAAAAAAACATTCAGAAAATCATGTATTTTTTTTTTCATATGATCTTTATTTTTAGTACTCTAAAAATAATCTGGAAAAGATTGACTATACCAAAACCGATCGACGAAAAATGATAAAAGTTTGCATTTGACTGAATTTAAAACTTTTACAAAACATCGTATATCTCTGTTGTTTGAAGATGCACAGCTTTTATATCTACCAAAATTATTATCCTAACTAAGTCAAGACATCAACTCTGTGCGTCCTCTCAATTTCACATAATCGTAGTTCCAAATCTTTCTCATTCATCATGAAGATGGATGTTTATGATATACTTTGATGCAATAAGATCATACGTTTCAGGTTAAAATTTTCAAAAAGGGGGCTGACAAAATCGGGTCCTTATGTCGGATATAGAAAAATCAAAACATCACGTTTTATGCTTCTGAAATTTTTATTATGACCGATTGTTCAATTCGCACTATCACAAATTTAGCTGCTCCTATCGTCCAACACGTGTATGCGGTTCACTTTTTGCAGCATCCTGACTCGCAGCAATCCTTGCCGGTTTCCTTCTTGCAGTCACAGTTGCAGTTACATTCGGCAGTGCATGGTTTGCCCTGTCCGCAATCAGCGGTGCATCTGCAATCTACCCAGGAAAGTAAGCAATATTTAAAACTCAAATTGAACACTACACATGACCGTCACCACTTACCATTACTACAACACTTGCACGGCATTTTGATTTAATATTGGTAATTTTCCTTTGGATATGGTTCACGAACGAGCTTATAGATCGCTAATTACTTGTTTGAACTATTCGGTTAGTTTCAATCTTCCAAATGATACCTTCTCGATCGAGGTGTTAACTTTTATAGGAATTATCCTCTGTGTTCACCCGACATGAACAACAAGAAAAATCGCAGTAAGCGTTTGATGACTGTGAAAGAGTCGTGTGCAGCGCTGTATCAGCCACCACTCAGTAGGCGCTGCCGTGTGAATCGCAAACCAATCCGCGCTATCGTCGGTAATCATATCTATCGAAGTAAACATTGGATACGCGTAGTATAGTGACGTCGGATCGGCCACACTTTTTGCTCTCAAGACTTGAGATAGTGACTAAATACACGGTAGTAACCTACTCCTCTTATCAGTACTCTCTGGTCGTGTGCTTTCTTAGGTATTCTTTTCGATACTTATAGGAAGTTGCAGTGACGGGTGGAAGCAATGCTCTCGGTGGAATTGCAATCAAAACCAATATTGGTTAGACATTCAACGTTTGCTGTTTATGAGGTATTGTAATTGTTTAAATATTTCAATATCTACTGATCAAAAAGCCGTCAAAAATATGTTTTGGCACATTAGCCACATGTTCATTTTCCTTGCATAGCCTTGTCTTTTAAATCTATTAACCCTAACAATTGTAAAGAATATTCACATAAGTGTTCAATGGTTGTAGAGCCTGATAATTCTTCTGACAATTCATGGTTTACATTATTAGAGACGATCACAATACCAGAACTTACAGTGAATGTTATTTTTTTTTTAACTTTTAAACAGTCGTAAAATAGGTACCGCTAAAAAATAGTTCGCAGAACACCTTCGAGAAATTTGAGGAGACATTCACAAGACTTCTAAAAGGGGTCAAAAGGAATTATGTGGAAAAACTACTCCACAAGATTTCTTCAGAACATATAAAGTAAAGTCACTGGACTACTGGGAAACTCGACAGAACTTTAAGTAAAGTTTCACAGGAATTTGAAGTAATCTATAAGGTATTAACCAAATTTCTGTACTAAGCGCGCAGGATGTCTTTCATAAGATTATATAGTTGAAATTACAGGACTTACCAAATCTTCCACGAGAAGATCAAACTATTGCTTATGAAAATTCAATCAAATAACGTTTGCAAAACATCTAAAGCCCGGTCCACAGAACTTTTAAGAGAAGTTCTGAAATACTTACAGTCTTAAGAGATTCTCTCTCTTACTTACTTACTTACTTACTTACTTACTTACAGTCTTAAGAGATTCAACTCAATTTAGAGAACTTTTACGGGAGGTTCATACGACATATACAAAATGTTTGCTTGACTATCACATGAAATACACAAAGGAAAGTCTATAGAAATTCTAAGCAATGATTTCTAAATAAATGATCACAAAAAATATAAGAAAGTCTACAGGAGTTTTATCAAAATGTTGTAACCGTCATGAACAATATTTTCAATTTGCACCATGTGATCGAGCCTTCAAGAAAATCCGTATAACACTTGCGGTGAAACCCACTGGGCAGACGATATGACCATGCTTAAGGCTTGCATGGCCGCATGGCATGGAGTCACGGGTGATGAGCTGAAGGGTTCTGCGATGCTCAAGGAATGGCCATCGCTCACTTTATCTCAGGCGAGCGTGTAGACCAGAAGTGTCTATGGAGCTGTGAATCAAGGTGAAGAGGACCTTTTCATTTCATCCATTCGCTATCTGGTTGGCGAGTAATTCTTTACATTCTAGCCGCCATTGCACGCTACCGTCTAGGTGGTGTTTTAGTTGCTTTGACCTAAACGTAAAGGACAAGTAAAGGAGAATTTCCCTTCCCGGTTCGACAGAGGGTGGTCTTGGCGTCGTCGACCGGCTCCGTCATAAGGAAGCGCCTGTGCCGGAACCATCTCTACAAACCGCTGTATCAGCTAAAACCAACCCCATCGCACCACAGTCGACGTACGGTAGACGCGCTAGTCCGACCGCCATCTCACTGTAGTCATCGGTAGACTAGTCAGTGGACCGCCATATTTCCGACAAGGCCAGCCTTGTATAATCCGCCATTGCCGGAATTGTTCCGGATTCTCAGCGAGCGGTGGTGCCACCATCTTGCCGATAAGATCGGCCTTATATCGTCCGCCATCAACAGAATCGTTCCGGAACCGCAGACTTCGTAATCGTCATCGTCGTCAAAATTATGTGCCAGAAAATCGACCACATCCAACAATTCACACCATACTTAATAAGGAGAAATACAGTGTCTAAGTTGATCCGACCTGTGTTTCAGTTAATATGAAAGCTTGAGTGCCCTTTAGTCCGCGTAGCCCCTCCAGTTTGCCCAGCAGTGCGCCGACTCTGAGACACAGTTCGATGAGTCTCGTGCTGCCGAGTTGTTGTCGGCCAGAACTTTAGTTTCAAATTGAAGGACTGTCGGAGAAAGTTGACAGCATATTTAAAGGGAAGTTAACTATAAGAGAAGTCTTCTGGGTCTTGAGAAAAAATTTCAATATCCGGAATATTGAATATTTTTGCAAAATCCAGAATCTTGAAAAAATGGATAATATGAATATCCAAGATAATATCAGAGATTTAGGACATTTCGATATGTCTGGGATGCTGAATAATGCTGGCTCAGGATCTCGCAAATTAATCATCAATCATAATTAATATCATCAAGGGGTGAGACAATGCATAACATATTTCAAAATATCATTATGACCCCATCAGTTATGGCACGGGATTCCCGGTCCAATTCTATAAAATCTCTTAGGTTTGAAATTTCTCACCGACCTCGACCGGGCACCACATATAAAAATATTTTGTAAATTTCAACTACCAACTGTAGCAGGTTTTTAAATAGAAAAATTTCACGTTTAACTATCTGAAAATCAATTAATTAAAGCTGAAATTTACAGGTTCATGTCAATTTATATCGTTGGTCAGTAAAAATCAAACCAATTTCAACTGAACAAATGAATTACATTGATGTGCTAAATGTAAATTTACAAAAAAAAATAGCTGTGTCCCAGGACTACAGAGCAGTCTGATAGCCACAAATGAACCTTCGCGGTTCAGTGGGTTTTGTTGTTGCTGCTGATGCAACAGCACCACCAAACCGGTCACTTCTTCGTGGTTCCACTCAAGGTTGCAAAGACTCATTTCAGCTAAAATAATGTTTTTCGGAATAATAAAACCAAAAGATGGTATGATGGCATGTTTTACTTGTAACTTACAAGAAGAGGCTACAAAGTATGCGTTGGAAACATAAAACCTGTAAATTTTGCTTTCTATGAGTCACAATCAGCGATTTGCTGATCGCTGAGTGAGTGAGTGAGTGAGTGAGTGAGTTTGTGAAAAATCGCTGATTGTGACTCTCATGAAGTGAAATAAACAGGTTTAATATGTCAAACTCATTCTTTGCAACCTCTTCTTGTATCCTACCAATTCAAAATTTGATCATGGCATCTAATTATTTCATAATTTAGAAAAACATTGTTTTAGCTGAAATGAGTCTTTGCAACCTTGGTTCCACTCAGCACGGTATACGTGTTTCTTTTTTCCAGCCACAACGCGATCATCAAGATGATGATCGTGCACGACAGCGAAGCGAAGGAGCCAAAGTCGAAACCAAACACAAATTTATAGCTACGACGATATTCAACCAACCAACAACGCATCTAGTTATCAACGGTGATCAGTCGGAGCCACAAGTGATATTCCGTACAAGCCTACTTTGTCGCGTAATCTCGGAAACGGGCCTTGTATTTATTAAGGGAAAGTTTTTGTGAACGTGCCAGAATGACAATCAATTGCAAGATTCGTTACGACAATAACCCACAGGGTATATTCTACGTGGGTCAAATCCTATCCGGAAGTGTTGTTCTGGAATCGACGGAACCAGAGACAGTGAATGGTAAGAAGCAAAGCATGATGTAAATTTGAAATACTGTGGAGTGAATGCGTTTCGTTGACCTTGATCGATGACATAAGTAAGCAGAAGTTGTAGCAAAACAAAACAACTAAACGCGTATGCGGTCTGCTAACTGAGCTCTATCTACGTCACGACGGGCAAAGCAAATGTGCTGAGAGTGCTTGATGAGTGATACATTTTTTGAACGTGTAAAAATTATAGCAAGCGATGACTCATTCCAGCAGACTGTTATTGTTATGATACACACTTGTTCTTCTTCCAGCTGTCTTCGTCAAAATCGAAGGCTTCACCATTGTTCAATGGAGCGAACGTCGTCCACCGCACGGCAAACGGCACCGGTCTCGACAATTCAATGGACGTCAAGACTATTTCAATACTCTAACCTATCTCGTAGGTGCCCAGGTTGCCCCTGTCGCTATTGAGATACCCCAGGGAACGCATGTCCACAATTTCACATGTCCCCTGCCGGATTCGCTGCCGACTTCTTTCGAAGGGCAGTACGGCCACATTCGGTATACCACCACAGTCGTCATAGAGAGACCTTCCCAGCAGAGTACAACCTATCGGGAAGCGTTCACAGTGCTTCGCAATGTGAACCTCAACGACAATCCCTCGCTGAGGGAGCCCAAGAAGCTGGAGCTTAGCAAAAGTTCTGGTTGGTGGATTTTCAAATCGGACCCAATGGACATCACGGTGGAAATCCCCAGCACTGGGTACGTCTCAGGTCAAAGCATCCCGGTAGCAGTTGTATGGAAGAATAACAACAGTGCCTCCATCCACGGCATTCGGATCAAATTGTACAAACACGAGACGTACTCTGCGACAGAACCCTACGAGAAGTCCAGAACCGACTCGCAGAGCGTCGTTAAAATTGAAAACAGGGATGTCCAAAACGATGTCGATGGGAGATTCGAACGTAGTCTACTAGTTCCGTCGTTGCCACCAACCACGGTTAGTCCCCTGATTACCATAGCTTACGAGCTGGCAGTCTACATACACCTGTCGGCCGACGACATACCAGTGCTGAAGGCACCGATTACGATCGGAACTATCCCATTGGTGGCTCTGCCTCCGAGCGCCAGGCCTCCACCACCCTCCGGCGGAGATGATCCGGATCAACCACCCGGCTATCCACCGGCTTACGGTTTCAAGTTTGACGGAAAACCAACCGATGAACAATCGAGCAAGGCCGGTAGCTCAACGGCAGCGACCCAAATGGGAGCACCTGTCGAAACGCCTTCGACAAGTCAGACCGCTGTGCAGCCGCATGATCTTCGTAAGTATCGTGGGTGGGAAGTCTTTTACGTCTAGTATAACTTTCCCATATGATTAGGCAATCAAAAAAGGCAGAAAAGTTATGCTTTTATGGGTAGTATCAATTACTAAGAAAAACTATGGGTAATTCTTAAGAAGTTTGAATGTTGCAGGAATTTATTCGGACGTTCAGAGAAAGTTCTAATTTTGTGGAAAGCTCAAAAATTTCTCATAGGGTGCTCAGATCTTGGCTCACCGCAGCAGGCTCTTTACTTACTATTTACTGACAGCTATATGGAAAATGTTCCTTAGATTTAGCAGGGATTATACCTACAAGATCAAATTAATGTCTGAGTAGTTGTTGTTATTCACATCGTCGTGATTGTGCGCTGCTAAATTTGTCGATTTTTTATCACACGGGCTATCGTTATTCGTTTTTTTTCCGTTCGGTATACCTGTAATATTGTACTGGTTGTTAGTGGAAAGTGCAGTTCGTTGCGATAATCGTCTAATTAGAGCATATTTTGTGTTGTGAAAACAGTGAAAAAGTTATCCAATCAGACATATTGTAGTGTATACTGTCTAGCATTGGGCGATCTTGAGAATCCAATTCCTCTTTGCGTATTAGAGCATCTCCACCGCTGTTTCTAAATCACTTTTGGAAACTGAGTCAGCATGACTTCCGCCTGTGACCAATGCGCTAAACCAGTTAAAGGCGATGAAGAATCCGTCTCCTGCATGGCTTTTTAGCGACAGGATGATTCACCTAAAGTGCGGGTGCAGTTTCGAACGCCTTTGGATACGGTTGTGTTTTAAGTTTGTTCTCTGTTTTGTGCGTGCGTTCGCTCTCATAGTTTTCGGCTGCAATTGCCGGATTATCGCTGGCGCTCTGCCTCCCGGACGTTTATTGTGTGATTGGTAGTTTTCTCGCTTTCCGGGAAGTTTTAGAATAGAGAAAGAAAACGTGATTCAACATGTTTGCAAGCATCAGAAGAGATGTCGCGATCTGCGTTGTTTGATTTTCTCCCGGACCAGAAATTAGTGGCATCGCGAGTGATAATTTTTAATTTCAGATTATTTACGCGCTGCAAGGTGCGTGAAAGAGCTCGGCACAATCGGTGTTGATGTTGGCTCGCTTATAACTTTTAAATTGATCGAAATTGTACCAAAAGTGCTTCTGAACGTGTTTCGCAGTTGGGTGTGGTGAAATTCGTGAATTCGCGGTTTATGTTCAGTGAAAATTCCGTGTCACAAAATTGCTCACCGAGTTTCCTTTTTTGCCATTCGACGACGACGGGTATGCGAGAGAAAAATAAGCATCGGGAATTTGCTCCCGGATGTATTGATTTGGTGAGTACGTTCCAGTTGAAGATTGTTCTTATACATATCTCGATTGCATTTTCGAGGGGACGTTCGGAGAGCTTTGAGATTTAGGCGTTGTTGCAATTGCGGGCAGATGAGTTGGTCGCCGGTAAGGGCCAGTAAGTGCTGCCAGCAGATGAATCAAGAGGTATTCGAAACAAAATTGTCCATTCAAATCGATTTAATACAGTTGAACAAATTTCAAAACTATATACGTGCCAGATTTGGAAATAATATTTTTTGAATCTGGAAGTGTGTTTATGATACCATTATCCATTTGATAAAGGTAGAGTGAACATGCGGGGCTTATTGTAAGTAAAAGTGACCTCAGAGTGGTCGTGAATTACCAGGCATTCTGAAATGGGTCACTGGAGCTGCAATAGAGCTAACACCTTCTAACTCCCGGACTAAACCTGCTTTAATTTAAGGGTAATAAAAAGCAGTTTTCTTCCATAATAACACTGCCGGACAGTGGGGGTTGGATTGTACACACACACACACACACAAGATCAAATTAATGTCTTTCTTTCGAAGCAAAACCCAAACTTCAATTCTCAATTTACGTAATTCGATTATTAATCTATTATGACCGATAATTAGTTCCTAAGCGCAAGCAAAATATTTCACAGCGTCTTAAGGTCATCCAATGCGCGCATTTTGATCCAATCGACAGCATCCTGGCTCGCAGCAATCCTTGCCGGTTGCCTTCTTGCTGTCGCAGTTACATTTGCAACCGGCAGAGAACGGTCTGTCTTGTCCACAAGCAGCGGTGCATCTACAATCTGGGCAATGGTAAATTTAAGACCACGATAAAAATGTTAGGTTTCACTTACCATTACCATTACACTTGCACGGCATTTTGAATATTGTTTTTATACGCTTTGCGGCTTCAAATTCTCGAAATATGCTGTCCCAGCCGAGGTGGGAAGCTTTTAAGGTTCAATTTACTTTGATGCATTTTCGAAAAAATCAAAAGCAGTTCTTTTCGACGCATTATTTCAGATTGCTAAAAGCTCGCGTCATTTTGTGTAGAATAGCAAAAGGAATCGAATAGTGCGAGCATTTTGCAATCTGAACTAATGCGTCGAAAAAAACTGCTCTTGAATTTTTCGAAAAAGCATCAAAGTAAATTGAACCTTAAAGGCATTCACTGCCAGCAGTTCACACGACATGATGGTGTTCGAAAAAATGAAAACCCATCTCAGTAAGCGCTGTCGTTTGAGAGCTCTGTGAAAGTGTCGTGTGCAGCAGTAGGCCATGCCGTGTGCCATGAATTTGCGCTATGCCGTCTTATCGATTCTATCGATGTCAACATTGAATTGGTTCGTTGAGCACTCTTTTGTTTTTTTTAATGGATGATTCATGGTGGTATTTGGAATTGACTGATGGTAAGCGTGATATGAGTAATTCTTTCGAATCATTGCCATTTGTTTGTTTGTAAATACAGTTATCACTCGTTCATTGAGGTGCTTTTTAGTTGGGAGTTCGATAATTGGGTGACGTCCCTACCAAAAAGTATTGGGTGACGTCCCTACCCATCAAAGAAGGTTGTCTGTTTGCCAAACGGGGTAGCATCTCTTCGAGGGCAAAGGCATGTTTAGAATACATTTCGGGCGTCGAGAGATTGTCTAGGTAAGATACTTAATAATTCATCAAATCTACTTTACAGCACCACCGACCTACGAGGAAGCTATGAGCACCGTTACGAACACCGAAGGAGACGAGGGACCTAGCCCCATGGATTCCAAACCCTTCATTCCCCTTTATCCTGTGTACAACTTTGGTAACCCGGATCCGAACCAACAGTAGCTCGGCAACCACTAATCTAAACTAACCCATATGTTAAAGTTTCTGTCCTCTTCGGCCTCTTTACTCAATGGAATAAAAAAAACTCATGTTATATCCAGATGGAGAGGCGACTGTTTGTCAACATTTCCGACGATAATTCACATACCAAATTCACGAACACCCTCATGCATGTGAATCAATCACAATTTCCCCTCTGAGTCTTATCTTATCAGATATACAACACGCTCGCTATCACCATTATAATTTTAATGGCAATGTCCCATTGTCGATGCCATTTAGACAATCGACAACTGCAGTATCGAGTTGGCAGTTTCAGAGTCCAGAAGCAATGACTACAATATGCGAAATCAAGTTTGATGAAAATCCTCACGGAGTGTATTTCCCGGGTCAAACCCTGTCCGGAAGCGTGGAGCTGCGTTTTGGAGAGGTGATGAAGGTGAAAGGTATGATTTACAAAAGTGCCAACATCTGTGAAGTAGTATGATTATTGTTTCAGGAGTTGCTCTACAAATCAAGGGTATAGCCGAAGTTAAGTGGTCCGAGACCGAAGGCGCTGGTAATAACCGCCGTACCGTTCACTACCGTGGCCGGCAGGACTACATGCAAACCACTACGTACTTGGCCGGATCCAAAGACGAAAGCAACATCGACATACTGCCAGGAATTCATACGTATCGGTTTTCATGTGCCCTACCACCCAACCTGGTAACGTCACTGGAAGCTGAATACGGACACATCCGATACACGGTCAAGGTCATTCTAGAACGCTCATGGAAGACCGATCATTCCTACAAAGTTGCGTTCACTGTGCTACGTCATGTCAATCTGAACGAAGAGAACTTCGACGTACGTCTACCGACCAAAATGGAAAAGGCCAAAACCTTCTGCTGCGGACCCTGCAGCTCCGATCCGATGCTCATTATAGCGGAGACTCCCATTTCCGGATACGTCCCGGGGCAAACGATAGCAGTTAAAATCGAAGTTGACAACCAAAGCAACAAGAAACTAGACGAACTTTCAACAAAACTCCTACGAGTTGTGTCTTTCATCAGTCAAACTCCGTACACCCGTGTGAAATCCCTATCCACAATCATGGCCGAAGTTCGGTGCGCAGGAGTCGATAAACGGATCAAAGGCAGCTACGTACAGCATCTCTACATACCACCACTTCCGCCGACAAGCAAAACCTGCCAGGTCCTGACGGTCAACTACATCGTCGAAGTGGAAGGTAAAATCTCCGGTCCGGCCATCAATCCCAAAATACACATCCCGATTACCTTGGGCACCATCCCGTTGACGACGATTGCTATTCCCACCTTCGACAATCTTGCAAGTATGACCGCTCCGATAGTGGTTCAACCGATGATGTCCGCTCCGGACGCGCAAACTCCAAGCTTCCCCGTTGACTTGCGTGAGTACTCCTTTCTTGATAAACTTAGAACTTAGTCCTAGTAAAACTGTTGCAATCTCACACACACACAGCTCCACCTAGTTACGAAGAAGTTGTCAATGACAACAGGGCCAACATCCAGGATGAAGGGGAAACCAATGAGATTGGCTGGAGGGAGTACACACCGCGATATATGGTTTATCGATTCAGCGAAGAAGTTCCCTCGGCACCAGCACAGCCAGCGCTGGAACAGACCTCGAAATCCGATTCGAAGCAACATGGCATGGATAAATGTTGAAGCATTCTATTTGTTGAATACGGTGGACTTTGTTTTAAATAAACGTGATGTTTTGTAGTTGTTCCGTGTTCTATTGGTGGTATGTGTCGAACCTACAGAAAGCTGCATCTGTTGGTGATTGTCTTTTGACTAAATCCCTTCGGACGGTAAAGAGTTCATTATTCTCCCACAACGTGGCACTAGTGTATACGTAAACTTCATGTATCCAGAAAGGATTCTTAAAGTTATTCTGAAAAGAATGCGAATAAAGTTTCAGGTTCATTTTATGGAGAATTCCAAGTAAGTTGAGATAGTGAACACAGCGAATAAGAATAACCCAAATTTGAGTTTAGTTAACTCATAATTGTCAAAAGTGCAGGAGCTCAGCGATGCGAAAATTTGCCTCATGGTTTCCTGTGGAAAACTTCAGAAATCTTCCAATATACCAATATACTGAGTGAATCCAATCTTTATTTTTCTCATATTTGTGAAGTTTTTCCTGGACAAACCTTAATGCAAATTTACTCAGCGCTGACATCCTGCACTTGATGAGTAAATTAAACTCAAATTTGAGTTGTTCTCATTGTTCGCCGTGAAGATAGTTCTACATGGTTCTACTTCTGATGAAAATTCCATGGAGATTTTTGACGAGAAATCCAAGAGAACTCCAACGACAATTCTGAGGCAGAATTGAAAGTAAATGCTGAGGATAGTTCCATAGAAATTGTAATGAAAACTCTAAGAGAAATCTGACCACAATTTCTAGAAAATTCTGATAAGAATTGTGATAAGAATTCCAATTTGCTGACAGCATACTTACATGTACCGTATGCGTGATAATGTTAGGTTCCCGTTTCATCTGTGCATACAATGCCTTGGTTTTCTTTGCATGCACGTAACCTATAGCTCATACCGTAGCAGGCAGTGTATAAAAGAAAATGATTTTCTTAGTTTGACAGTTGCACCATGACGAAGTGGCAGCGTATTCGTGATTTGTCCCACGCGCAAATGTCGGAAAAAGACATTTCAATCGCCGTGGGAGTGTCCCGGTGGACCGTCAAAAGGGTTTTAGACCGAGAAATGAAAGGACAACTATCCGCGAAGGTGGCCACAGGTCGTCCGAGTTCAGCTCGGATTCCGAGGGTTATCGCTGCTATCAAAAGGAAGATTCGGGTGAATCCAGTGCGTTCAATAAGGAAAATGGCAAAAGAACACGGGATCAGTAACTATACAGCACGGAAGATCGTAAAGGAAGATTGCGGGGCGAAGTCGAGGGCACGGAAAAAAAACTCACATGATTACCAACCGCATCCGCGAGCTACGAGTCGAACGATGCAAGAAAATCTTCAACTTCCTTAAGCGAAAAAATCCGGTAATCTTGTTCACCAACGAGAGCATGTTTACCGTCGATCCCGTATCAAATTCCAGAACCGACCGGTATATTAGTTTTCTTCCGGTAAAAGCCGTGGCCAACAAGCACAAGAACGTGTATCTGACCAAGCATCCTGCTAGCGTTATGGTGTTTGGATTGGTGGCTTCCGATGGCAAAAAAAAATTGACCCAGTGTTCATTCCAAAAGGCGACAAGGTCATCATGGAGGTCTAAATTGGGATTTTAAGTAAGTATGTTCTTCCGTGGATCATAGAACAGTACGGCCCGAAGCCAAATGTTGTATTTCAACAAGATGGGGCTCTGTGCCACACCTCGAACCGCACTCAAAAGTGGTTGCAGGAACATCTATGTGACCGCCATCCAGCCCCGATCTTAATCCGCTGGATTACTCAATATGGCGCGTTATGAAGGCCAAGGCCTGTTCTACAAGCCACCCGAGTACAGCAAGCTTCAGACAAACATTGACCCGTACCTGGAGAGAAATGGAGAAATGCCGTGCATTCCGGAAGCGTGTGGAGGCCGTAATTGCAGCAAGTGGAAACTTGATCGATGATTAACATAGTTTAAGACTCTCATTCCGCATCGAACGTTCGACTGTTTCGGTCTAGTGTTGCCTGCACTCCGTTATCAGTACTAGTTTTTTTCCCTATTGAGGTTTTTTTTTCAATCCGCTTTCACACTGAGTGGTGTTATAGTATACACAAGTGTAGTGAGCATCGCGGAATTGCATTTGCCGCACAACCGTTCGAGAAAGGAAGCAGTCATTTCCGGCCGAGTCCGGCAGATGAGCTGTTCATCTTTAGCCAACAAATTTCATCGCATCACGCCACTGCAACATCAAGGTCATCGAGTTCACCAGCCGGCGAGCCAGCCGGTGCTTTGTTGCAAACACTCGAGGGCAACAATAGAACGATCATCACCATCCTCACATCAGTAGATCATCGTCATCAGCCACACTCCGTGCGCTTGTGTGGAGAGTTAAGTAACAAACGGTTATCTCCCGTTCTCCGCAACCTGATTAATCTCCATACAGCGTTGATTAACTTTTCTGACACCTTTTTGTTTTTTCCTGAAAAAGTTTTCCTTTTTTTCTTTTTCACTTTGGTTTTTTTTTTGCTATTAATTTTTGCTGGTTAATCTCCTTATAGTGTTGATTAACTTTTCTGACACCTTTTTGGTTTTCCTGAAAAAGTTTTCATTTTTTTTTCTTCTTTTTTTTTCACTTGCTGTTTTTTTTTTGCAGTCTGATTAATCGCCCTATAGTGTTGATTAACTTTCCTGGCACATTTTTTTTTTTTTTTTTGCTTTGTTGGATTAAGTATTATTTTTACCGTATATTTCTAGATAAGTTTTTTTTCTTATATATATATATATATTTTTTTTTTTTTTTTTTATTATTATTTTCTTTTATTTATTTTTTTTTTGTTTTCCTTACGCATATTTTTTTTTTCTTGTTTATGTCGAAATCTGTTGCGGAGGTACTTAAGACCCCGCAATGGATGAAACAAATGATGGCGAGGGTATTTCGCTAGCAGATATCTCCGATGATGAGTCTGTTGAATCTCCATCATTCGAAAATCTGCTTCTCACTGAAGAGAAAATGGATACCTCAGGGGACTCTACTAAGGACCCCAAACCGAGCACTGGAGCTTACCCAAAGGTGATGTCTAAACAACAGCCTCCTGCACCCCCTGCCCCCCCTTCTCCACCATCGCCCCCTCGTCCACCTGTTCCCCCTACTCCAACCGTTCCCTTAAAAATTTCTGCGACCCCCCGCCATAAAGCTTACCCAAGTGGCTCAAAAGGTCCGTGGGTTGTTTTTTTCCGGCCCAAACAAAAACCTTTGAATATTTCTCGGATTTCGAAGGATCTGACAAAACATTTTTCGGCCGTAACCGATATATTTAAGGTGACGCCAAACAAACTGCGCGTTACCGTTGATGACCTGAAACAGGCAAACCGGATTGTTGCCTATGAGCTTTTTACGATGGAATATCGAGTCTACATCCCCAGTTGCGACGTAGAAATCGAAGGAGTGGTCACCGAAGCGAGTCTAACTTGCGAAGATTTCCTTCATGCCGAATCCTTCGGTATTTTTAAAAACCGTGCCCTTCCGAAAGTGAAGATTCTGGATTGCATCCAAATGCAATCAGTGTCTCTCATTGGCACGAAAAAAACGTACTCTCTGTCAGACTCGTTCCGTGTGACCTTTTCAGGATCGGCGCTACCTGACTACGTCGTAATTGGGAAGGTTCGACTGCCTGTACGCTTGTTTGTACCGCGGGTAATGAACTGCTCAAAATGCAAGCAACTTGGTCACACCGCTGACTTCTGCTCCAACAAACCGAGCTGCGATCAATGCGGCGAGCTGCATGCAGATGGTCCTTGCCGGGCTACCCCAAAATGTGTTTACTGCAAGGATACTCTGCATGCTTTGGTTGATTGCCCGAAGTACAAACAGCAGGGAGAAAAACTTAAGCGGTCTTTGCAAGCTCGCTCCAAGAGGTCACTTGCAGAACTCTTAAAAAACACCGCTTCATCTTCCCAAACCACCCCAAAAACCAAAAACACATACTCCATTTTGCCAGATGATGATCAGGGCTCTGACTCAGAGGTTGGTGAAGGTAGTCCCTTTGTGTTTAAAGGCAACACGAGAAAGCGATTAAAAAAAAACGTCACTGAAAATCCGCGTAAGACCTCTCGTATGGACTACCAACCTACCTTGACAAATTTAAGAGGTAGCGGAAATGTACCGAAACCCCCACCACCGGGATTTAAATCTTGTAATTTTAACAAGGACTTTCCGCCACTTCCGGGATCATCTAAAACCCCAGATATCCCAGTTTTTCAGCCAGAAAAACAGCTGAATAATCAGCAAGAACATGATGCCATGTTCACGTTTTCTGGAATTGTGGAGAGCATCTTCGATATATTCAACGTCTCTGACTCAACTCGGAACATTATTAATTTAGTGCTTCCATTCGTGAAAACTCTTTTGAAGCAACTAGCTTCTAGGTGGTCCTTCCTTGCATCGATCATATCCTTTGATGGATAATTTTCCGAATGAGGTCGGGGATATGATCTCTGTTCTTCAGTGGAACTGTAGAAGTCTTATACCGAAACTTGACACATTCAAATTTTTAGTTCACAACTCACTTTGTGATGCATTTGCTCTTTGTGAAACATGGCTTTCTTCAGACACCGATCTCCCTTTCCACGATTTTAACATTATTCGCCTTGATCGAGCAGATTCGTATGGAGGGGTGCTTCTCGGGATTAATAAGCTCCATTCCTTTCATAGAATCGATCTGCCTTCCGTGACAGGCATTGAAGTTGTCGCATGTCAGGTAAATATTCGAGGTAAAAGCCTCAGTATTGCCTCAGTATATCTTCCTCCAAGAACTGCGATTTCTCGCCAAGGTCTCTCAGATATCTGCTCAGCTTTATCTGAGCCTCGGTTGATATTAGGAGATTTTAACTCCCACGGTACAGGCTGGGGGGAACTGTACGATGACAACCGCTCAACCCTGATATACGACCTTTGCGATAACTTCAATATGACAATTCTAAACACTGGGGAAGTAACACGAGTGGCCAAACCTCCAGCAAGAGAAAGTAGATTAGACCTCTCCCTCAGTTCGAGTTCACTATCGTTGGA